AAAAGAAAAAAGCCGGAAGTGGCGCTGTGGCTCAAGTGGTAGAGCGCTAGCCTTGAGCTGAAGAGCTGAGGGACAGTGCTCAGGCCCAGAGTTCAGGCCCCACAACTGGACCAAAAAAAAAAGAATTACTTGTTTCATAAATGTTGTATGAATGAGTTAACGACTATTAAGATAAATAGTGGTGTATTTTTTAGTGGTAAGGTCTTTGATTTGTTTTGTGAACTAAGAAGTGTGCTAGGTATGAGCTCATAATCCAGGTATTGTTAGTAGCTCTGCTTCTGTTTTCTTCACTGCATGTAATGGGTATCCTAGGAGCCATCAGAAGTTGGGTAATTGTCTCATTTATTTAGTATGAGAAGCCACTAGATCTGGAAGGTATATAATACCATTTTCCCAGTAGAGGCAGACTACTGGGGAAAAAAAAGTAAATCCCTTTCCACATTCTCCAAAACACAAATAGGTGAGTTAATTGAAAGTACTGGTTAGATCTTGAAAAGGGAGATGATAGCATTTGGGGCAGCATGGCAAGTCATTTTGTTCAACATTTTAGGTTTCCTCGAACCAGTCATGTGAGTGGACTTAAGGGTAACCATTGGAGCTTTTGTATATGTACTTATGTGTGTGGTTTGGGGAACATACAAGTCTCTGATGCGGTCAGAACAGGTCAAGATAGGGAAGGAAAACAGAACTGCAAAGTGTACTAACCCATGGGAATGAAGTATGAGAACATTCAGTTTTGTGAAGGTAGCATACCTCAACAGGAGTTTATTGAAAATTTTAATAAGACTTTGAAGTGATTTTTGGATGACAATTCCTCTGACCACAATGCCACGTCTTTCTCTTTATCGCAGCTGTTCCAAAGACCCAACGCACTCGCAGTCCAGCAGCTGACGGCCGCTCAGCAGCAGCAGTACGCCCTTGCAGCAGCACACCAGCCACACATTGGTGAGTCCCAAGCCCAGCGCCCCAGCTCTGTTCAGAATTCCTGGATGCTGTCACCCCCAGTAGTTCAGACTGAAAGCAGAAGCCACACAGGACATGCTTGATGGGTTAGATGGGATGCCGGCACTTGAGAGGGAAGTGAGGGCAAGAAGATGGTTAGTTCTGGTCAGCCTGGGCTGGATAATGAGTTTGTATTCTCACAGAGTAAGTACATCCAGTAAGATCCAGTCCAAACCACGCACCCCCCCAAAAAAAAAAAAAAAACCATGAATCCCTTATGCAAAGTAAATGAGCTTTCCTTTTGTCTAGTCACATTCTACATTTTTGGCACCAGAATTCACAAGATATCCTTATTATCCAGCTCTTTCTCCAACAGAGATGTTTGAGCACTTAAGAAGTATTTGCTATAGAAATGATTAGTGACTAGTATTTGCTCATTTGGTAACATTTGGGCTTGTATAGAATGATTATTATTTCTCATCTTACTAAGTAGCAAGTAGGACCTATAAATTCATTTTTAAAGCACTGAAAAAGTTAACAAGCTGTCCCCTTTTCTTGTAGGAATAAAGCTTTCACGGACATTTTAGTTTTGTTGCCTAGGCTTTCATCCCTAGTGGACCTTCTTCTTGTTTTTCCAAACAGAGCTAGGAAATCTTTTTATCTGCCAAATGCTGTGATTGAGTGGAGAGGAGATTAGCAGTCTTAGATGTGATTTGCTGTGAGAAAGAAAACAAACCTTGCTTGTGCACTGGATGAATTTAAGGCCAAGCATAAAGCTCTTTGCCTGGGTCTAATGCACACCTGTAGATCCTTAATTATTGCCCATACATTTTCTTTATGGAATGCTATATGGAAAACTGCCTTAATTGGAAATATTAATTGGAAAATACCTTCTGCAAGTCTTACTGAATTTTTTCTTTCTTTCCTTCCGTCCTTCTTCTTTTCTTTCTTTCTTTCTTTCTTTCTTTCTTTCTTTCTTTCTTTCTTTCTTTCTTTCTTTCTTTCTTTCTTTCTTTCTTTCTCTCTCTCTTTCTTTCTCTCTCTCTTTCTTTCTCTCTCTCTTTCTTTCTCTCTCTCTTTCTTTCTTTCTTTCTTTCTTTCTTTCTTTCTTTCTTTCTTTCTTTCTTTCTTTCTTTCTTTCTTTCTTTCTTTCTTTCCTTTCTTTCAGCTTGAACTCAGGGACTGGGCTCTGTCCTTGAGCTTCTCTGTGCTCAAGGCTAATACTGTACCACTTGAACCACAGTGACACTTCCAACCTTTTCTGTTTACTGAGGAATTGAACCCAGGGCTTCATGCATGCTAGGCAAGCACTCTACCACTGAGCCACTTTCCCAATCTTAGGACTAGTTTTCTATCAAAGACTCATGAGCTTTATACTTTCTTCTTTATGCAGGTACTGAGAGTTGAATTGACTCTATTGTTATACTAAACAAGTCCAAATTAAGCAAAGTATTCTCTCATGCCATCAATATGTTTAGTTTTACAGAAAACAGTTTGATTCATGTTTCTTATTGTATTTTAATAATAAAATTAAAACTAGTTTAAGGGCTACAGATAAAGCTCATTATAGATCACATAGCATTCATAATATAAGGCCCCGAGTTCAATCCCCAGCACTGCAAATAAAATTCAACAATAAAATGAATTGTCAATTTTTAAAAAAAAAGTTGCCTTTTTAGTGCCAGTACTGGGCCTCTGCATGGTCACTGAGCTCTACCACTTGAGACACAGCTTTACTAAGACTTCTTGGTAGCCAATCAGAGATAAAAAGTCTCATGAATTTACCTGCCTGGGCTGGCTTTGAACTGTGATCCTCAGATCTCAGCCTCCTGAATAGCTAGGATTATATGTGTGAGCCATCAGCACCCAGGCCTAATTGTCAAAACTTTTCTTTCTTCTTCTTCTTCTTCTTCTTTTTTTTTTTTTTTTGGTTGGTAATGGTACTTGAACTCTGGGCCTGAGCACTGTCCCTCAGCTCTTCAGCTTAAGGCTAGTACTCTACCACTTGAGCCACTGCGCCACTTCTGATTTTCTGAGTAGTTTATTGGGGATAAGAGTCTTATGGACTTTCCTGCCTAGGCTAGCTTTGAACTGCATTCCTCAGATCTCAGCTTCCTGAGTAGGTTTACAGGTGTGAGCTACCGTCGCCCAGTTTGTCAAAACTTTTTAATGATGAAGTTGTACTGAGTTGAAGACTATATAAATAGGAGCTAGAGGTGTGGCTTAGTGGCTGAGTGTTTATCTAGAATTTGTGAGGCCCTGGGTTTGAGCTAGAAAACAAAATTTAATAGCTTTCTCTCCCTCCCCCCCCCATTGAGGTTGAACTCAGGACCTTGCACTTGTTAAGTAGGCCAGTTTAAGTGTTTCTTAGCAATAGTTAAAAAAAGCAAACAACAATCCAAAAATCTGGGCCTGGCATGGAGATGAAGAAGGTTGGGGTTTTCAGCCAGCCAGTGCAAGAAGTTAATGAGAACCCTCATTTCTACTAACAAGCTAGGTAATGCATACCTATAAACCTAGCTATAAAAGAGGCATAAGTAGGAAGAGAAGCTGGCTAGTTCAGGGGAATGAAAAAGAGTAGATCATATTTTTAAAAATAACTAAAGCAAAAAGGCTGAGTACAAAAGGACCAATTTATTGAGTGCTTGCCTAGCAACTGTAAGATCCTGAGTTCAAATCTCAGTATATACTATTACCCTTCAAAGTGGGGGGGGGGGAAGAACCAATAATGAAAATGAAGGCTAACCTGGGCATGATGGCACAAGCTATTATGTCAGCACTTGAGAAGATGAAGGTAGAGAACTGCCAAGTTCAAGGCCACCCTCACCTACATAGCAAGATCCTATTTGAAAACAAGTAAAACACTAGATGAACACTACTACCATAAATTGTTAGTTTGCAGGTTATTTTATGTTTGTGAAGTCCCTGTTTCAGCCTGTCTTCTGTTGCCCTGATGTGCAGCCTAGCATGGCAGGTGCTCGTCTGTGAAGGCTGCAGTTTTGGTGCGTTTTACTGACAGGTGTGTTTTCAGCAGGTTTAGCTCCTGCCGCGTTTGTGCCCAATCCATACATCATCAGCGCTGCTCCCCCAGGGACGGACCCCTACACAGCTGGATTGGCTGCAGCAGCTACGCTTGGTGAGATAATCTGCACAGAAGGACTGTGCTCAATGCGAGAAAGTTCTTTGTTTGGCAGAGGCATGCATTCTTTATATTCTTCCAAAATCGTGTATCCAATAGAAATATCTCCTGCTTTTCATTGATAACCATGTGCTAGCTAGATAACTCTGCTTAGCTGTTACACAGGTGTTTCTGACGCCAGCATGTTGAAAGGGAGGTGATCACCCACCAGGTCTCAGAGCTCATGAATCCCACTCCAGTTGGAGTCATGGCTCAGGTGGTAGAGCACCTGCCAATAAGCTGAAATGTTAGATACAGAATTGGAGTCCTGGTCTTAGACCAAAAATAAATAAATAAAATAAATAAATAAATGGAATCTCTCAACCAGGTCTACTGCTGCTTCTCTGTCATAGTTCCGTCTTTCTATTCGTCTCTTACCCCTAATGTCCTTGCTTCTTTCCTACCTCTGCTCTCTTTAAATTGACCATAAATATGTTTTATACACAAAGCTTCCTCATTCCACCTTATATCCCAAGTCTCTTCTTTCTCTTCAGATGTAGTACACATCAATTATTGTCAGACATGGTTCATCCTTATAGCCTATTTGGAGTGTGATGTTTATTGGGTTTGTTCCCTTCAATTCTAGGTTTTCTCTTCCTTCCTTCCTTCCTTCCTTCCTTCCTTCCTTCCTTCCTTCCTTCCTTCCTTCCTTCCTTCCTTCCTTCCCTCCCTCCCTCCCTTCCTCCCTCCTCTCCCTCTCCCTCTCCCCCCCTCTTTCTTTTTTTTTCTTTCTTTCTCTGGTCAATCATGGAGTTTAAACTCGGGGCCTGGACACTGTCCATGAGCTCTTTGGCTCAAGGTTAGTGCTCTTCCTCCTTTGAGCCATAGCTCCATTTCCAGTTTTCTGGTAGATATTTGAGGATTAAGAGTATCATGGATTTTCCCTATAGGGCTGGCTTAGAACCATGATCCTCAGATCTCAGCCTCCCGAGTAGCTATGATTACAGGTGTGAGCCACCAATGCCCAGCTTTGAATTAATATTTTAAATTAATGTATATAATCTGATGATTAGTATTGGGATCATTTGTGTGTTGGTGCCACTTTTTTCTTCTCTTGAGTGGCTGCCATTGGCACACACCACACACTGTTAGCAATACCCATCCGATTCCAGCTTAGCTCAGTGTCCTCACACTCTTAGTCTTTTCTAGTAGACTCTTTTCCCCAATTTTTCCCTGGAAAGTACTGTGGCTGATTTTATTATATGACATGATCACAACTATGAGCACAGTACAGAATAGCCTTTCTTAGGTTTGTGAGGGGAGCATATTTAATGTAGATCTCACCTCTACCTTTGGGGAAAAATAGTTTTTTCTAGTAGAGTGACCTTTGTTAACTTCCATTAACATTTATCTCACACTTACGCACTTGGCAGACATAGTCTTACATACTTGCCTTTCACATGAGTTCATAGATGGTGATTTTCAGTTTGGGAGTTGGAGTGCTATCTTATGTGAGGTCATACAGTCTATGCTTACACTTCAGTATATCATACAGAGTGGCTGTGCTATCTTGAGTTACCTTTCTTTTGAAGTCCTTTTTTATATTAATATATTCCTTGAAACAAAGAACAAGGGATAACATAATTGACAGTCAATGAAGTGATAGTTTGACGATCATCTGAGCCAGGCTGCATACTTTCCACATAACAGGGAATATTAACTACCCAAATGTGGAACCTCTGTATTGATAACACAGTAATGGAAGCAGGAATTTTGATGCTCTAAGCACAGCAATTAATAGCTCTGAGATATCTTCCTTACTTGAATTGTAGGCCCCGTGCCACTTAAAATAATTAAAGGTAAATCTAAATGCTTTGGTACTATCCCAGTGCTGGTGTGGTGCTAGTACTGGGTGTTCTTTGTTGGCTTTTTGGGGAGCCATAGAACTACCATTGCAGGTGCCCACATATCTTTTCAAGGTGGTTACATTCTCTCTCCTCTGCCAGCACTTAGTATACTATTTATTGTATAGTGAGGAAACTAAGTACAGATTGAGTCTTTGATTTTTTTCTTACTGTTTCTTTATATTATATATATACACACACACATATATATATATACATTATATATACATATAGACACATATATACATATATATATATATATATATATACATATTTAATTTTATTTATTTTTATTTTTTTATTTTTTGGTCGGTCATGGGGCTTGAACCCTGGGCCTGGGCGCTGTCCCTGTACTCTTCAGCTCAAGGCGAGTGCTCTACCTCTTGAGCCACAGCGCCACTTCTGGTTTTCTAGTGGTTTTTGGAGATCCTCTGATCTCATGAACTTTTCTGCCCAGGCTGGCTTTGAACCGTGATTCTCAGATCTCAGCCTCCTGAGTAGCTAAGATTACAGGTGTGAGCCACCAGCACCCAGTTATATACATATTTTATATACATTATATATAATGTAATTTTATTCAGCTATTAGGAACAATAAAATCTTTTCATTTGCCAGGATATAGATCTGAAAAATACCATATTGTGTGAGGTACATTAGGCTTACACAGACAAATGGTGCATGTTTTTCCTCAAATATGGACCACAGATACAAAATACAACCTTCAGGTAAACATGCACAGGCGCATATGCATATATATATATATATATATTACCAAGCAGACTGAAGCACAATGTATAGTGTAAACCCTTTGAGCAATTTTCACAGTTATTATAATGAGTATCAGGAAGGTAAAACATTTTGAATGGAGTAATGAGAGAGAGTGGCTGAATGGAAAATGGAATGGTAGATTAATTCATAATACTCATGTACATATTTGATAAAGGAAGTGAGAAGGAAACTGCGACTGCTAGGGAAGAGGTAGAAGGGAGAGAGAATGATGGAAGAGGTGACTCTGATCAAGATGCACTGTATATATACATTAAACGAACTCCTTAAATTGTAATCCTGCGCACAACCATTTGTAGCTAAAAATAAACTTGAAAGTAGGCATTTCATTAAATAAAGAAAAAATTATTTCAAATAAGTCATTTGGTAGAAGTTGTTTTTCTCTTGAGTTTTTTTTTTTTTAAACTAGCAAACGACTCACTGGTGAAATACAGCTCTTTTAGAATACTCAGACAGGGCTGAGCACCAGTGGCTCATGCCTGTAATTCTAGTTACTCTGAAAGCTGAGAATGGAAGGCTCAGGTTTAAAGCTCAGACTTCACCTCAGCAGAAGCTGGGTGTGGTGGTGTGACAGTCATCCCAGGTACAACAGGAAGGCTAAAGTAAGGCTGATTGTAGTCCAGGTGCATGCCTGTCTCAAAAATAATTAAGGGCTAGAAGTATGGCTCAGGTGTAGAGTGCCTGGATACAAGCTTGAAGTTCTGAGTTCAAACCTCCATACAAAACTAAAAGAAGAAAATCTAAACTACAAATGAGGCACTTCTGTAAAGTAATGGAGTTAAGTGTTGGTATTAGTAGAGTTGACAGCTCAGAGTTTTATCTGAAAGAAATACTTTTTCAATCAAGAGTTAAGAATTGGGCTGGGAAGGTAGCTAAGTGGAAGAATGTTTGCCTTGCATGCATGAGGCCCTGGGTTTGATTCCTCAGCACCACATAAGCAGAAAAAGCCGGAAGTGGGGCTGTGGCTCAAGTGGTAGAGTGCTAACCTTGAGCTGAGAGACAGCGCCCAGGCCCAGAGTTCAGGCCCCATGATTGACCCCCCCCCCCAAAAAAAAAACCCAAAAACCAAAAAAGAGTTAATTAGTTTTTTATGTGCCCAAGAATGAGATTTCCATACTTTATGCATAGTAATTTATTATTTTTATTCTTTACTTGCCCACCTTTATTTCAAAGTAATATTCAAACTGATAACCAGGATGCTTAACAGAGTTGTAATTCTCAATTGCATTATTTTTTTTAAGAGCTTGAAGATGATTACATCTCCTTTAAACATCTTTAAGAAGTATATAAAAATTCTGCAGTGAAAAACATAAGTTATCTTATTTTTGGGGGAAAAAAAACGCAAGGCTTTTGCAGTAATGTAGAATTAAGCTATCATATGCTGGGTTACATTACTATATTCTTCAGAATGTGGATATAGTTAATATGTATTCACTTATATGAATAATTAACACTTAAAATTTCAAGTCACTTGTGAATGTTGTAAGACCTTAAATGTGGAAATAAATGCCTAAAAATAAACATTGAAATAAATGCCTAAATATAAGTATGCTGAAGTCTGAAAGTGTAAGTATAGCTCAGTTTTTTGTTATCTCAATAGTACTGTAAACAAAATGACATTACTTCTAGTGTCCATTTAATTTCCTCATAATATGGTTATCTGGTGTTGCATTAGTAAAGATACCTACAACCCGTGGGTACCCCAGGAATCTATGACAGATCACTTTACAGCAGCCAAGATCATCAACAGAAAATCCCAAATGTCAGTGTTCATCTGTTTCAAAGAGTATTGTTTATATATGGTCCAAAAAATGCCAAACCAGATGATGGGTCAGTAAAGTCGAAGAGCATAGCACATTTCTTTAGTACTTTTAAATGAACTTTTCTAGCAACATTTCTCTTTCCGCTTCTATCCCTTCACTCCAGTCATATCATTCTTTAGTTTTCTGAGTTATAGTTCGAATCATTAGTTTGCTATTGGCCACTTTGGGAAATAGTGATTCAGAATCTGAAATTCATTCATATATTGTGCTATCACAAACTCAGGTCTTGTGAGTAATGGGAGTTTTATGAAACCTTGTTTTTCTTCTGGATAGCAGTCCCATTGAGGTGACAATCAAAACCTGCTTCCTGGAAGCTGGAATCTTTGATCTTGAGGTCCAAAAGGTCCCATAGTTTCATCAGGCCATACTGTTCTAGAGCATGTATCTATTGGTGAAGTGGCCACATGAATTCATCAGAGCCTGAAGGTCCTGTTTTCGGAGAGCTGTGGGCCGAAGATAAGCCAATTTAGAGGGGCAGAAACTGGGCGGAAACCATTGGAACCTATCAGGCCTCGGCCTCAGCGGTGGGGCCTATCTGGCCTGGCCCAGCCCAGCCCAGCCCAGCCCAGCCCAGCCCAGCCGGCAATTCCACTCTTCTGGAAGCACCAGCAAAATGGTTGCACCCCCTATTCTTTTCTTTACCTGATTAGTGTCTGAACACAATTTCTTCAATTTGGAGACAGTTTGTATTTTTATTTTTGCTGTTTCTGGGGCTTAAACTCGGGGCCTGGGTGCTGTCCCTGAGCTTTTGTACTCTACCACTTGAACCCCAGCTCTGCTTCCAGCTTTTTGGTGGTTAACAGGAGGTAAGAGTCTTTGCCCAAGCTGGCCTCGAACTGTGTCTCTCTCCCCCCCCCCCCCCCCCCCCCAGATCTCAACCTCCTTTGTATCTAGGATTACAGGTGTGAGCTACCAGTGCCCAGCCAGTATTATGGTTCTGATGAGTCCACTTGCTTATTGTAATACAATGGATAACATAGTTCTAAACAGTACCTTCATTTGATTCAGGTTTTGAATTTCACCATGGGCACCCTTGCCCAGTAGAAACGTCACTGGGCTTAGCCCACCACCTATCAGACCTATAATTCCAGCTACTTCAGAGGCTGAGATCTGAGGATCATGGTTTAAAGTCAGCCTGGGTAGACAAATCCATAAAACTTAACTCCAATTAATCACCATAAAAGCCAGAAGTAGAGATGTGGCTCAAAGGGGTAGAAAAAGTGAGCGGAAACACCATGCAAGAGGGTGAGGTCTTGAGTTCAAGCTATACTAACAGCGTGTGTGTGTGTGTGTGTGTGTGTGTGTGTGTGTGCGTGCGTGCATGCATGCATACACAGGGTCACAGCTTATTGGGTAGCGGTACAATGAGACTATTTTAGAAGCTTAAAATGTGGTCAGAGAGTGAAATGAGCCAGCTTACTTGACTTAATGTGGTAGTTGTTTGATGAGAATTAGCTGCTGTTTCAAAATAGCTATAATTTGAGCAACTTTGTGGAATGCCAGTGTCAGCTTTGCTTATTAATGAACAAATTGCAGATGTTGAACTTGCTTTAAGAAAGTTTAAATTGGAGGTGTATTTCAGCAGATTTGAGAGGCAGGCTTTGAGTCTTTTTGCGTGTTTTTCTATAGCATTTTCTAATTTAAAATGTACATAGCAAAATTACTGCTTTATTATGTTATTTTTGATTTGCAAATTTGCATGCATGCTCTGTCTTCTTGAGGGGGGGGGCGCTGGTCCTGGGGTTTGAACTCCGGGACCTGGCACATTCCCTGAGCTGCTTTTTTGCTCAAGGCTAGTACTGTACCACTTAAGCCACAGCACCACTTTCCCTCTGTCTTCTTTATCACCATCTTCATCAGAGAATTATATGAATTAGACTTTTGCTACAACTAAGTTTCTGTCTGGGTAAACATTCTGTGTCTGTACCTACCCTATTTGGCAAAGAATGGACCTGTATGTAGCTTGTTGCCAAAGAAGGTGAACAGATCATTTAGATTCAAGCAGTATGCTTAACTTTATTTAGGATATTCTGCTGGTCTGTAACAAGTCAAGGTACTGTGTTTTTGTTTTTGTGGGGTTTTTTTTTGTATTGGTATTCATATTTACTGAGATTTTATTTCTCATCAGTTCTGGGGCTTGTAATCAGAGCCTGGGAGCTGCCCCTGAGCCTCTTTGTGCTCAAGGCTAGTGCTCTACCACCTTGAGCCACAGTGCCACTTCCAGTTTTTGAGTGGTTAATTGGAGATGAGAGTCTTACAGGGACTTTTCTGCATGAGCTAGCTTCAAAGCACGATCCCCACATCTCAGCCTCTTGAGTAGCTAGGCTTACAGGCATGAGCCACCAGTACCTGGCTTTGGTGCCACGCTTGTAAGCCTAGCTACTCAAGAGGCTGAGATCTGAGGACTATGGTTTGAAGCCAGCCTGGACAGGAAAGTCCATGATACTCTTCAGTTAATTACTAAAATAGCCAGAAGTGGAGCAGTGGCCAAGTGGTAGTGTTAGCCTTGAGGGGGGGTGAAATCATACATTAACATCTGTATATACTTGTGTTGAATAACTCTTGTGACTTTAAAAATAGAAAGTAGAACACAGCCAAATGTTTTAAATTAAACAGTGGTTCGGTTGAATTTTGGGTTTTGTGATACAATGACTGGTAGGTTTCCATGCTTCTGGAGTTAGTGATGCAGCATCGTCGTGGTATCTTTCCCATCCTTTCAGGTGCCATGCTCACCATTAAAATGGTACAACTGAATTTTGTTTTCTACCACTTTAGGCCAACAAGCCCTCCATATATTTTCTCTCAAATGACCACACTTGTATCTCTGCTCTATCTTTAAAGTCCAACTTCCAGTTTCTTGCTGCACTTATTATCCACCTATCAGTATCTTTACCATTGTGACCCTTTGTCTTTCTCTAGTCCAGTAGTCCTGGAGTCTTTGCTGTCATGGTCTTGTACAGTATTTTCTGTTTTTACAAAGGCAGTTAATAATTACATAGCACAAATCAGTGAATTCATTAATACTTTAAGATTTTGGATCAGAGTAGGACCTGTTGGGTCTTTGGACACCCTAAGAGTTTATAAACTTTACCTTTTGTTTGCTGTTTTTAGGCCCCGCTGTGGTCCCTCACCAGTATTATGGCGTCACTCCCTGGGGAGTCTACCCTGCCAGTCTTTTCCAGCAGCAAGCTGCTGCTGCTGCAGCTGCAACCAATTCTGCTAACCAGCAGACCACCCCACAAGCTCAGCAAGGAGGGCAGCAGGTAAAGGGAACAAGTATGACTTTTACTGTTGTCTGTAGCTAATAGGTGATGTGGTGCCTTTTAGGAAACCTCTGGATACATGAGTTTTCCTTGTGTGTGTATCTGTGTTCCGGACCCAGAGTGAATTTTTTGTGCAGAACATCTTTAAGCATCAGCCTCTTCTTGGCCAGTGTAATTTAACGAGGTGATATTACTTCAATTTGATATGAGAAAGTTGTTTAAAAGTGTTGTTCAGATAAGGTTACATTGGTAGCAAGTAACAACGAGTCTTCAGAGTAATAGGGATGTTTTTCCAGTTACCGTTCTCTAGTTCCGCTTGAGAATTTTCAGATCTCATTGAAGTTTGCTTGATGGGTTGTCAACCATGTGTGCTGTTTATTTACCATTACTATTGAGTTAATCAGAAATCTTAAACGTATTATACATATGCTAACTTATAGGAGTTTTCAATTGAGCTTGGAAAAACTGCTAAGCAGTTGATCTATTCTCAAATACACCATTTCCCCCTCCTCCTTATTATTAGATGAATATCTCTTCATTGCTATAAGTTGTAGCAAAGTAGAAAGCTCCCCCCAAGAAAAGAAAGAAATCCCACCCTAAATGCTTACTTAAAAATACCTAGGTGGGGTGGCTCATAGCTGTAGTCCTCGCTGCTCAGGAGGACAGCTGGCTCATAGCTGTAGTCCTCGCTGCTCTGGAGGACAGCCTTTTGTGCCCAAAGCTGGTGCTCTACCAGTTGAGTCACAGTTCCACTTCCAGCTTTTTTGGTCGTTGTTGTTGTTGTTGTTTTTTTGGTGGTTAATTGCAGCTAAGAATCTCATGGGGACCCCCCCCCCCCATACCTCCCCCCAAACCACTGTCCTCAGATCATAGCCTCCTGAGTGGTTAGAATTATAGGCGTGATCTATCAGTGCCTGGCTTACATTTTTAATTTTTAATTTATTTTTTATTTTATTTATTTATTTGGTGCTACTACTGGGGCTTGTATTCGGGGCCACTTGGTCTCATTTGGCTTTTCTCCCAGCTTTTTGCTAGTGATTTGGAAATATTGAGTCATAGGCTTTTCTGCCTGATAGCATGAGTTAAAGCTTTTCTGTGTATACATGCACATGTGTGTTAGTGCTCAGCTTTGAATTTGGGGCCTTGTGCTATTGCTTAGCTTTTTCACTCCTATCTGGCATACTTGAGTTGTGTGTCCAGTTCCTTGCTTTGTTTTTTGTTTTCCATTCCATGTTTGGGTCATACTATGCAGCCCAGGCTTGCCTCAAACTGTTGGTTTTCCTGTGTTAACCTGGTGAATACTGGGATTATAGACATAATCCACTGTGCCTAGCCACTATTTGGAATTTGATTAAAGGGGAACAGTGTTGAAGGGTGGAGAAATGTTCTCGTATTTCTCATAAAGAATATAGCTTCACATATGTTTGTTTAAACACAGATATTTTAAAAGTTAATTGTCTTATCAAACTGCTCCCTCCTACTCTGTCCGTTCTTTCTTCTTTCTCTGCTTCTTGTCAGAACACTGATATGTAATTCTTCAGTGTCATCTGTCCTATTCACTGGAGCAAGTACTCCACAAAGCCAGGGGCTTTGCCTGCCTTGTCCATAGCTCTGCCTCTAGTATCTGCCACATGGTAGGAATCAAACAGCTCTTGTTACATACTTCTCACTGTGTCTAAAGGTGATAAATAAAAATGGTAGAACACAATTTCACCATGCTAGTAATTGGGTTTTTATCCTTATAGCTATGCTATATAAAACTAGTATGAGAAAACTTTCGGAACTGTTAATCTTTAAAACTCAACTGGAAGATTGGGTGTCTGTGGCTCATGCCTATAATCCTAGCTACAGAAGGCTGAGATCTGAGGATCTTGGTTCAAAGCTATCCTGGAAGAAAAATATGTAAGACTTCTACCTTTTTTTGGTCGGTTGTGGGGCTTGAACTCTGTTCCTGCACTCTTCAGCTCAAGGCAAGTGCTCTACCACTTGAACCACAGTGCCACTTCCAGTTTTATGAGTGGTTTATTGGAGATAAGAATTTCACAGACTCTTCTGCCCAGGCTGACTTTGAACTGTGATCCTCAGATCACAGTAGCTAGGATTACAGGTGTGAGCCACCTCGCCTGGTTTGACTTCTGCCTTTTTGCTGGTTGATTGGAGATTAGTGTAGTGGAGCTATGGCTCAAGTGGTAGAATGTTAATATTAAGCTTAGGGACAGTGCCTAGGCCCTGAGTTTGAGCCCCAAGACTGATTCTTCTCCTTCTGTGTACACCTCTCCCCTCCCCAAGTCAACTGGCATGTATGATAAATTTTAAGTACTTAGCCTGAGAAGAAAGTCATTAACTTATTTCTGTTTCCCATTCCTAGGTTCTCCGTGGAGGAGCAAGCCAGCGTCCTTTGACCCCAAATCAGAATCAGCAGGGACAGCAAACAGATCCACTAGTGGCAGCTGCAGCTGTGAACTCTGCCCTTGCATTTGGACAGGGTCTGGCTGCAGGCATGCCAGGTAAAGCTGTATGGTAGTTTTTAATTCTGGGAGGGGTAAGAGAGGATGCCTCCTACTTTGGGATGAATGCAGGAGAGTAGGTAGTATTTTCAGCTTGCCCAGACTTCTTGTGTTTTGGAAACTGGCAAGGATGATAAACACTTGCCCTCACTTAGACGATAGTTCATTGATGAGAGCATTGTTCTGAGCCAGTTGACAGTCTTACTTACTGGAGGTCATGTGAATGTCCACTCAGTTTTTGCCCTGAGGAGTAAGGATAGGTAGCATCATTGTTAGCCTAGCTTAGCATTACTCCATTAGTCTTTATGCTTATGTAGTTGAATAGTATAATTAGGAGAAAATTACTTGTATCCCTTGTAAAGATTATCCTCTGCATTTCTAGGATTTATCCCCTCCCCCCAAATACTAGGGGTGTTATTTTGCTGTTTACTCTGTGCATGTATCATGAGTGTGTGTTCTTGGTTCACTGTCCTGTGCTTTGTATGAGGCTGGACATTGCAACAAGTTCTTGTTAGATCTCAGTTTAATTTTGTCAGTTTATTGACTGAAGCATAGCTACCTACCTGATTCAGTTATGAATAACCCTACGTAGCTTCATTTGTTTTGTTAGCTACTAACATTTATGGGTTTCTTTGCTTGCTTGTTTTGGAAATCACCTGTAGTTACTCGTGTATCTTTAAAATTTGTTTTATCTTCTGTTGCAATGATAGACCTTGTTAATTGAACAATGTCTAACCTTTTCCTGTGGATTTATAGGATATTGGACTTAAATTACTATTTGGTATGCAAATACTGTAATTGTGGTCATAGTAGCTTCTGTTATTTCTTTTTTGTTTTTTGCTTTTTGTTTTTGTCGGTCATGGAGCCTGAACTCTGGGCCTGGGCACTGTCCCTCAGCTCTTAAAGCTCAAGGAGAGCACTCTACCACTTGAGCCACAGTCCCACTTCCCCTGTTATTTTTTTTGGGGGGGGGGATCGGGTCATAGAGCCTGAACTCTGGGCCTGGGCGTTGTCCCTCAGCTCTTCAGCTCAAGGCTAGCATTCTACCACTTGAGCCACAGCGTCACTTCTGGCTTTTTTCTTTTTTGCTTATGTGGTACTGAATTGAACCCAGGGCCTCATGCATGCAAGGCAAGCACTCTACCACTGACCTACCTTCCCAGCCCCTTCCCCTGTTATTTCTGTAGAGAAGAAAACAGAAAATTGTAGTGCATGCTTTCTGGTGGCAAGCACAGGTAAATACTTTTTCACAAGCAGCAGTGGATAGCACTATCCCTTCTTGTGTACTCCTGTGTGCCAGGCATCAGACCCTTCAAACTCAACTGCAGCTTCCTGAGTTCTTTGCGAAGGAGATGTTACTGTTATCATCATTCTTTTACAGATCAGGAAATGATGTCAAGAGATTCAGGGTCTTGCAGCTATTTAAGCAGTAGAGCCAGGATATAAACCTAGGGCTGACTTCAATGCTGAGATTGTGACTATTTGCAATACGCTGGTACCCAGGAAGCACTTTTTTTCCCCCTAAGTACGTAAGTGCTTCCTTAACCTTGTAGCCTCTAAGCTTGTAGAAATGCCTGAAAGTGATTACTCCTGACCTCTTACCACTATTTTTCTACACACACACATACACACACACACACACAAAACTTTAGTAACCATAGTTACTGTAGAGTTTTGAGCATGCAATTTTTATTCTTTTTTTATTAAGTCAAGAATTTTTATCTTTTGTGGTGGCTTCTGGTGTTTATGAATTGCCAGATGGCTATTATTTCATTGTGCTTTGGAACCATTATCAAAAACAGTAAGGGTTTCTTGAATAGTAGTAGTCAAATTGATGTGTTACCAGATGTGGTTATTGAGAAGGCTTCTAAGGACTGACAGGAGGGAAGTATTCACAGCCCTGATGTACTGGACAGAGGGATTACTTACAGCCCTGGCAAGTGGAACAGAGTGCTGTGAGATTTCACCATACTTCCCAGAAGAGCATACAATTGAAAACTTAGAAATCATGTGTGTAATACTTTTGCGTGGTAGTCTATTGTGGGTAAGTAAAATGGTGGACAAAATGGAGACTGCAGTTTATATCTTTGTGTTTGCCTTGTTATTCCTAGGCTATCCAGTTTTGGCTCCTGCTGCTTACTATGACCAAACTGGTGCTCTTGTGGTGAATGCAGGAGCAAGAAATGGCCTTGGAGCTCCTGTTCGGCTTGTAGCTCCTGCTCCAGTAATCATTAGTTCCTCAGCAGCACAAGCAGGTGAGCTTCCTTTGGGGGACCCTGTGATGGGTCTGAAAGGTAGAGGGAGATGGTGAAGGTATTCTTAAAATAGGATGAAATGTACTTTATTTAATAATTCTTGGCATTATCTAACCCTGTAATATCTCAAAGAAAGAATCAGAAGCAGCAAATGACCTTGGTGGATTCTGATTCTGCTGATTGGCATGTACCACCTGGTTAGAAGCAAGGAGCGGCTCCATTGACATCGTAGGAAGTTGGATTACTCACGTAACATGGCACTCTTGGCAGAATTTCAAGGCTAATCTCACAGAAACCCATTTGATTGGTTTTTCAGATAAAAAGTGTGTGTGTGTGTGTGTGTGTGTGTGTGTGTGTGTGTGTATGTACACTATTTGATTTAGTGGTAGTGGTAGAGGAAGTTATTATAAGAACTAGCAGGACAATATATCTTTACCTTAAGTTGTTCTCCAATCCCATTCATACTAGTCTGTGCTTTTGAGGCCTCCTATTTGCTAGGCAAGCACTCATAATACTTGGGCCACATTTCGAGGCTTTTTGTTTGTGTTTTAATTTTGAGATAGGGTCTCCCTAACTTTACCTGCGCTGGCCTCAACTCACCATCCTCCTGCCTCCTGAGTACTGGGATTACAGGTATGCCCCACCATGCCTGGCTAATGTAATGTATATTAAGCTCTATATGCACCTTAAAAAATTAGCAACCCTAGAGGGAATAGCTGACAAAAAACATTGTGCTAAAATAAGAATTTGAAGGACATAATTTTTGGAGAAAAATATCACCATGGGTATGTGTAGAATTTTGAGATTTAGGAAGCAGCTGTATCTAATAGGTACATTTGATGTTTGACTCCTCTTTAAAGTACAGACACTTTCAATGAGCTGCCAACACAGTATGCTTGCACCTATGGAATTCTGACTTCAAATCAGAAGTAGAAATGAAAAGTAGAACCTTCAGGTGACAGGTTCAGAGACAGATTCAATTCTTTCACAGGTTTGTGTCTGCACTGAAAAGATAGGCAGCATTAAAAGGGTTCAAAGAAATGGATAAAATGTGGTGTGGAAATGTGGCCAGTCTCTTTTATAGCCAAATGGTTTGCTTTCTTCCTCATAGCTGTTGCAGCGGCCGCAGCTTCAGCAAATGGAGCCGCTGGTGGTCTTGCTGGAACAACAAATGGACCATTTCGTCCTTTAGGAACCCAGCAGCCTCAACCCCAGCCCCAGCAGCAGCCTGGTAACAGCTTGGCATCCAGCTCTTTCTATGGCAACAACTCCCTGAGCAGCAACTCCCAGAGCAGCTCCCTCTTCTCCCAGGGCTCTGCCCAGCCTGCCAATACGTCTTTGGGATTTGGAAGCAGCAGTTCACTTGGCGCGACCCTGGGATCAGCCCTCGGAGGGTTTGGAACTGCAGGTAGAAATTAGACCGATGACACTGTTGTGAAAACTGATTTTTCATGAGTTTTACTATCTTTCTGGAACCCTGACAATGTGTGAACCACAGGCTGATCTGGACTGAGGCCCCGGGAATCCAGCCAGCAGCCCACATAATCTTTGAGATGATGCACTTTGAAAATCAAGTCCTACAGTTGGGTCCTATTTCAGGCCCACACTCATGTTGCTCTTATTTATATTCACATAATCAGTTTGTTTCAGGGACTTGAGAACCAGACATTTTTGCAGGCATTGGGGAAGCATGTGGAGGGAACTATAGAAATGTGGGTGTTAAACTGAGGGAGGAGGCCTTTAGCACAGTTTCCAGGGCTACGTACTCCACATTTGAGATTGTGCCCAGTGCTTGATTTGCAGACCTTAAGGAGTTGGGTGTTTTCTCCAGTCTTTCAAATAACACTAAGGTAGACATTGTAGAACACTAGGAGGAAGGATGTTAGACTAAGATTCTGTCAATGTTTTGATGGGAGAAAAAAGCAGGAAAGCAGTCAGTGAACAGTTTGATAATTGCAGTGGTTATAAAACAATGTGTTCTCTAAATAGAAGAGCAATAGCCAAATTGGAATTGGAGGCAAATAGATATTTTTGATTGAGCCCACTGAGACAACTGGCTTTCATCTGCAAGTCTTGTAGAGTGGAGCAGTACCCCATTTATGGATCTTTTTCTGTACTCCATTTTTCTATTAGAACCTTTTGGCTGATGAAAGGCATTCTTTCTAGTCCATTTCCTTTCACCTTTTCCCATAGTTTATGTGGCCGTCCAGAGCTTTAAAAACTTCCCCTCTACCCCATCCCTGGCCCAGAATATATGACACTAAAGGAAGGTAAATTTGGCATATACATGTGATGGTTTGAGCATAAGGTTCATGTTAACCTGAGCCATGTCCTCTTTAATATTTTATTGGCCCCCAGAACTGCTACATTAACAGTAGGCTGTCTCTGCTGACAAATCTGCGGTGGTAAGGAGTCTGGATCAGGGTGCTAGGGGCAAGTCACTGAGCTTGTTCTTCAAAGAACAGGCCTTTTCTTATCTGCATTGTTTTAATTCCATTTTAGTTGCAAACTCCAACACTGGCAGTGGCTCCCGCCGTGACTCCCTGACTGGCAGCAGTGACCTTTATAAGAGGACATCGAGCAGCTTGACCCCCATTGGACACAGTTTTTATAACGGCCTTAGCTTTTCCTCCTCTCCTGGACCCGTGGGCATGCCTCTCCCTAGTCAGGGACCAGGACATTCACAGACACCACCTCCTTCCCTCTCTTCACATGGATCCTCTTCAAGCTTAAACCTGGGTAAGAACCATTACTCTAACACCACCTTGCAAGTACTTTGCATAAGCAAAGGACAACAATCCCTTTATTCTTAGAGGTGTCCAGGGTGTTCTGTGCCTTCTGTCAATACCTCATGTTTTTCAGGCTGTACCTGTAGCTAGTGTAGTAGTTTGGAACTGCTTAGCACTTGGGTACACTTCCCATTTGTTCACCTGACGCTTTCGCATGAGCGTTCTGTGCTTGACTACTTACGGGAGTCTTTCACTGTAAATGCAGTGCAGGTTCATTGCAGTGAGGCTGGAGGGCCCAAATATGGAATGAATTTGTCCACCCACTGTCAACCCTGTAGTGCCTCCCCAGTTAGTATTTTACTTTACTTTTACATTTTTTTGTCTCACATATGCTGTTAATATCTTGCTTTTTTACATACAGCATTGTATTAATTTTTTTCTTACAGAATGCTTTAAATATTTGTAAGTACATTTTTAAACTACACAATAAGCTAGTGAGTAGATAGATTTTTCTCCATCATATATTTATATTGTTTTATGTACAAGACTTTCAACATGTTATTCTCTAGGTCCTAGGAAAATGAATGGGTGAATGGGATTCTAAGCATCAGCTTGCAAGAGTGGAAGAAAGTTAGGTTAGAGTTTTAGGGAGCAGATCTCTAAATTTTGTGAGATGTGGGCAATGACCATGGTTCTCACTTCCTTCCCCTACATGTTTATCAGCTTTGGATACCAGATTTGTTTTCTAGACAGGGAAAGCTGAATCTTAGAAATGCAGTAGATGGGATTGGAGGTGTGGCTCAGGTGGTAGAGGATCAACCAGTGAGCAGAAGCATCAGATATCAAGTTCAAGTCCCAGACTGGGGGCAGGGAAGGGAGATGTAGGCTGTGGACACATTTGATGAGCTAGTTGGGGTATTAAAGTGAGTAGGATGTTTTCATTTAGAAAGACAAAATGTAAACACTTCATAAAAATCAAGTAAAATCTAGAGTGTATATATAATAGAGTGTTTTGGGGACCTTTTGAGTTTGAAAGCAGTGATTTTGAAGGCCAAAGTATGTTTAAATGCACTAGCATTTATGTTCAAGTTCGAGTGTATTCTAAAGTATAGGAAAGTGTTGGGGACGTTCTTTGGTTAGTCGTCCACAGTGGACAAGAGGAGGATGGGCATGTTACACTGCAGAGCAGTGTCTTAATGCTAAATCAGGAGGGCACAGGTGAAAGTGTTAGGCTGATGGGTGGATAGAAGGGAGGAATGAACATTCATGGACCTAATTTTAACCTGTTAGCAATAGTGTTATCCTTACAGTGCAAATGGAAAGAATCTGAGTCCAGAATTTAAATATCTGTCCTAGGTTGTCTCATAGTTGTAACAGTTTTTACTCCAAAGTCTGAATTTCAGTGTATTACCCTCCTCACCCTATGTGCCCAGAATATCTCTTGAAACAGTGTATTATCACAGTGAGAAATACTGCCTTTTATTTTCTTTTTTAAACATTTGAGTTATGTCATTCAGTCGTGCTAAGTACTAATTGAACTGAATCTTTAAAGTTAGTTAGCTAGTTTATTTTTCAAGAGCCATTTTTTAGGTTTTGTGGGCCATATGGTTTGTCTAATGGAATTTCAACTGTAAATGGACTTGTGCATAGTTTCCTTTATTAAAACTTTGTTTATAAAAGTGGCAGACTGGATTTATCCTGTGGGCTATAGTTTCTTAAGTCTTCAACTAAATGCTGTGGCTCTTGGCATGTGACAGTGGCGCTAGAAATATTACTTATATGCATGATGCCTTTCCTCTTCCCAGTGTTTCAGTTATTAAATTATGCATTTCTTTCTGCTTCAAGTTTCCCTTGTTAAATAGGGAACAATTATTGTGTGCTATTTCTTGTTTTAGTGATTTACTGCCTATGCAGATTTGTGGCTAACCTTTTTCCTTTAACAAATTAACCCTGTTTTAAAGCAATGTGTTTCTGTGCATTTGCATTAGGCTTGCACTGTTGCAGGTATATGTAGCACACATGCTAGTCCGTAGGAGCTTTGCTTCAGCTCCAGCTGCTTCCTTGAGAAAAGTCTTCTTGTGTGATTTAGCTTTTCTCAGACAAAAGGTTGCAGTCCATACAAAGGTCTAAGGACACTTTGGTACAAAAAATTGATAGAGAGAGAATATAAACAAACACCTGCACCTACTTAAGCTTTTGTTGTTAATACAACTTTACTGCTGAGAGTTACTGGAATTTGATAACTGTGTTCTGTGTGTTGAAGATTCAGAATAACTCCACATGAAACTTAAGCTCAATTTGGCTTAATGAGTGAGTTCTCTACATAGCTCCTAAGAGTCTGACAACACAAACCAGCCTACCTGTCGTACAGGGGTGGGTCTTTTTCTACCATGTCATGATCCCATTCCTCCAGTGGGCAGACCTGTTAAAATACAGGCTTATGATTCGGTGAGCTGCTTAGCAAATTTCCATCCCTTACCCATCTGTCCCCTGTTGTTTACTTGGATGTCTCATGCTTGTAATCCTAGGCTGAGATTTGAGGATCACAGTTTGAAGCCAACCCCAGGCAGGAAAGTCTGTAAGACTCTTATCTCTAATTAACCACCAGAAAAGAAAAGCAGAAGTGGCACGGTGCTTCAAAGTGGTGGAGCACTAGCCTTGAGCAAAATAAGCTCAGAGACAATGGCCAGGCCCTGAGTTCAAGTCCCACGACCAACTACCCCACCCCCCAAAAAAGAAAGAAAAAGAAAAAAATCAGTGGATCTGGGTGTGTGGCCCACATGGTAGACCACTTGCCTAGCAAACACAGTCCTAGGTCCTGTGGTAACTGAACAGGCCCACTTCAGTGGGTTAAAAACTGCTGATTATTTAGAGCCCAGAAGGGGAGGAGAGAGGGCTACTGAGTCACATTTGAAATACTGTAAAACCGACCCACTTAAAAATGCTGTTCCAGGTATTTTAGTAACTATATGTTACAACAACTGTCATAAAACCTCTACATTAGAACATTTCCAGGAAGTGGAGGTATCGCTCATGAGGTAGAGTACCAGCTTTAAGCAAATGCCTATGCCTGAGTTCAAGCCCTGGTGCCAGCACCAGAACAAAACAAAACCTTTTCATCCTTTGAGTGAGATCCCTTCTGCCCATTTAGTTAATCCCATCCCCAGCCCCAGTCAACACCATCCGCTTACTGTCCCTGAATGTGGATTTTCAGGACGTTTTATATAAATTTCTCTTATGTTCTCTTATGTCTGTCCTTTTGCCCGGTGCATGTTCTTTTCCCTCAAGACCTCCTGCTTGCTAAGCAGGTCTTCTGTCATTGGAGCCTTGCTTCTATCCATTTTTTGCCTTGGCTTTTTTTCCCTTTATTTTTCTCTTTATTGTTTGTTTTGTAGAGTTTTTTTAAATTTTTTTTCAAATTCTTTATTGTGATTAAGTGGTTACATAATTTCCCAAATTTCACAGTATTGTGGGATAGTGATGCTTAGTTAAAGTCACAAACACATTCTAACCTCCATGGGGCAAATTGTCTATCGTGGTCTATAACATTGGAGTTCCATGAGCTTTGCAATACAGTTATTTCTTCCACATTGGGTGGTATGTACATTTCTTTTGTTTTGCATAGCATCATCAGCTGTTTCCTCTTTCCCACTTGTTCCCTCCCTCCCATCGCTGCCATTGAGTTGCTTAGTTCATTTTGATCAATGTCCAGTGCAGCTGATGGGTCCCACTGTTGTATGTTTTTCCCTGATTCCCTCTAGTTCTGTGTCGTCCTCCTGGTTTCCCTCCGGTGTGCACATATATATCATATATGTGATCAGCAGCATGGGGTTATTTAGTAGTGATTCGACCAGATGAGTGGAAGACCTTTGTTTCTTAAGTCGTGTTAATTTTGTCGTATCACCTTACATTTTGAAGTTAACATCACTTATCAGGGAGACCATGTACCATTTGTCTCTTTGTTCTTGTCTTACCTTGCTCAACATGATTTCTTCTAGTTCCATCCATTTCCCTGCAAATGCCATTATTTTGTCCTTTCTAATGGTTGCATAATATTCCATTCTGTATAGATGCCACAATTTTTGGATCCATTCATCTGTGGTGGGGCATCTGGGTTGTTTCCATATCCTGGCTATTGTGAACTGTGCTGCAATAAACATAGAGGTGCAAGTGTCCTTGTATACTGGTTCCTGTTGTTCAGGATAGATGCCTAGAAGTGGTATGCCTGGGTAAGGGAGGTCAATATTTAGCTTTCTGAGGACCCTCCAGACTGAGTTCCAAAGTGGTTGTACAGGTGTACATTCCCACCAGCAGTGTAGTATAGGGTTCCTCTTTCTCCACATCCCTTCCAGCATTTGTCGTTGGCTGAATTTAGGATGTGGGCCATTCTGACTGGGGTAAGGTGGTGTGCCTTGGCTTTTTTTTTTTTTGGGTCCGATCGTGGGGCCTGAACTCTGGGCCTGGGTGCTGTCCCTCAGCTCTTCAGCTCAAGGCTAGTGCTCTACCACTTGAGCCACAGCACCACTTCCGGCTTTTTGCTTTTTGCTTATGTGGTGCTGAGGAATTGAACCCAGGGCCTCGAGCATGCAAGGCAAGTGCTCTACCACCGAGCCACCTTCCCAGCCCTATGCCTTGGCTTTTGAAGTAGGATTTTGCTTTGTGCCTGGCCAGGCTGGACTGTTACCTTCCTGTTTGTGCTTCTCCATTTCATTTAGAGATGACAGACACTTGCTTTCCTAGGCCTAGTCACTGTGCTTCTGTTGTAGCTGGGATGGCAGGCTCTCTTAGTTGAGATGGCGTCTCTTAAACTTTTTTTTTTTTTTTTTTGGTCGGTTGTGGGGCTTGAACTCTGGGCCTGGGCGCTGTCCCTGCACTCTTCAGCTCAAGGTGAACGCTCTACAGCGCCACTTCAGGTTTTCTAGTGGTTTATTGGAGATAAGAGTCTCACAGACTTTCCTGCCCAGGCTGGCTTTGAACCGTGATCCTCAGATCCCAGCCTCCTGAGTAGCTAGGATTACAGGCGCCCGGCTCTCTTAAACTTTTATGCTCAGACTAGCTTCCAGTCATGTCTCCACTTCCTGATACCTAGAATAACAGGCTTGATCTTTTGTGCCCAGCTCCCTTTTCCTGTACTTGGAGATTCATACATCATATATCATATGTCAATAAATTGTTCCTTTTCCTTGTTGAATTGTATTCGACTTTATAGAAAAATCATTTTGCCTTTCTACTTAACAGCCAATAAGACATTTTGGGGCCATTACAAATAATGCTGTTGTGAACGTTTGCATGTAAGTCTTTTTGTGGCTATCTCTCTCTGTGTAGAGAGTGGAATTGCTTGAATGTAAATTTGGTTTATGTTACACATTTTTTGTGTTGTTCTTGAACTCAGGGCCTGGGCACTGTCCCTGAACATTTTTGCTCAAGGCTAGTGGCACTCAACTACTTGAGCCACACTTCTATTTCTGGCTTTTTGGTGGTTAATTGGAGAGTCTCACAGGCCTTCCTGCCTAGGCTGACTTTGAACTGCTATCCTCACATCTCAGCCTTCTGAGAGGTTAGGGTTACAGGTGTGAGCTGTGACTGGCTTATGTTAAACTTATCACTTGGGCCATATAGTCAGCCCTTTGCTGCTCTGATGGTTTAGTTTTGAGATAAGATCTTGTTTTTTGTTTTTGTCCCAGCTAGCCTGGATGTTGTTCCTCCCATGTACGCTTCTTGTCATAGCTGAGATGCAAATGCATACTACCATGTTCAGCATATTGGTTGCCATAGGGTCCGATCGTGCACCCCCCCAACCCCCTCCTACCCCCACTTGCCTTAGATCATGATTGCACAAATCACTTCCTCCCAAGTGGTCACTGAGCTTGGTGGTTCACTGGAGGTAGGAGACTCACAGACTTCCTGCCTGGACTAGATTCAAAATCTCAGCCTCCTGAGGATAATAGTGTGAGCTACCAACTCCTGGTGAAAGTCCTGTTTGCTTTTGGCTGCCTCCTATTTAAGTTGAGTCTCTGAATGTAACTTAACTTGAAAATCACATGAAAATTAGTATTTTTTGGCTACATTACTATCATGCACTAGAGATAGTTTGTTTTAATTTAGGACTACCTTGATGTGATGTTAATGAATTGAGGAGAGTTTAATTTTATTTTGATGGATGCTCTTTTCATTTTTCTGGTACACTAGGGGTTTGAACTCAAGGCCTCATGTGTACTTGCTGGCACTTCACCCCTTGAGCCATGCCTCTAGACCTGCTGTTTTGATCGTTAATTTGGAGATGGAGCTCATGGACTTTTCTACGGTTTTGCTTCTATAAATCTCAGCCTCCTTAGTAACTAGAGTTATAGGTATAGAGCCACTGGTGTCCACCTTATGAATTTTTCTAAGGTGGTAAGATTGATTAGTAATCAAGAACATTGAACAAAGCAAGTATATCAAAGACTAGATACCCACTGCCAGAAAATCCTTGTTGGAGATGTAACCCATTGGTGGAGTACTTCTCTAGTGTGTACAAGGCCCTGGAAAATAACCTAAGACAAACAAATGAGAAAAACAACTCTTCTGTTGAATTATGTAAACTGGAGCACATTAATTTAAATAACTCACTTAAATCCTTAAATTTCCTTGGGAAACTGCTACAAGACACAGCTTTATGTAGAAAATGGAAAAACAAGAGGCAGTTTACAAGTACTTACTGAGAGGCTAATATTTGCCAGGCATTTTTTCAGAAAAAAGCCAGAGTTTTAATTTTAAGGTATAATTTAGGCATTAATTTAATGTTTAAAGAAATACTAGTTGGTATACACAAAGTATGTCTGAATCAGCCAGGCTAATTTAGTACCTTGGAAATTTTCTCTTTTTTTCCCCCTTTTTTATTGTTATGAAAATACCGTACAGAGGAGTTACAATTACAGGGGCAAGATAATGAGTACATTTCTGGAAATTATCTTTCTTTGTTTAGAGATTTATGTATTTATTTTCTCAGTAATAAAAGCAGTGTATCTGTTAGGCCTGTGTATATGGCTCACATCTGGAACAATCCTAGGACTTGGAAGGCAGAGATCAGGAGGATGAAGTTTGAGACCAGCCTGGGCATAAATGTGAACCCTCCATCTGGATGTAGAAGCATGCTCATGTCTTATGTGGGAAGTGTAGGTAGGCAAATTGTTGCTGATAGTGACCCAGGCATACACACAAGACCTTCAAGAAATAGCAAAGGCAAAAAAGGCTAGTGGTGTGTGTTTGTCAAGTAGCAGAGTACCTAGCTAGCAAGTATAAGCCCCTCAAAAATACCCAGAAAGGCAGAAAACTGTGACTGATGTCGTGGAAAACAGCCAAAATTCAAAACTTTGGGGCAATTGTATAAACTTGTATTGTAGATGCATTACAGGCTCTTTCCCCTTTGGCCTTTTGTAATTCAGATTAGTATTACTTGGCCACAATGACCCAGCTACTGGTAGCTTAAATAGTGTCATCATCTTTTCATATAGCTGGAAGTGCAATTCTGTTCAGAATTGGTATGTTCCATCAGTCAGCATAGTCAACCATGACCCGGCTGCCTTCCAGTATATTTCCTGCTTTGATCAGTCATAGTTTTACTAGAAATTGTTTTCAGAACTGTTTTTGTGCCATTCCTTCTTTGGCATACTGTGTTCTCCTCTCAGCACCTGCTGCCCCTGCCTTACTATACCTCTCCACATTTGTCCTAAGAGTAGTGGTTTGTGAAATGAAGTGAAGGACAGACATGGTTGCTGTTTTCTTTCCAAATAAGTCTTTTTAGATAGAGGTATTATGTAATTTAATTGGGCACGTATGACTCACTCCTGTAATTCTAGGTATTCTGGAGGTTGAGATCTGAAGGATGAAGTTCAGAGCCAGTCTAGGCGAAAGTCCACTAAATCCCATTTCCAATTAGCCAGCAGAAATCAGGAATGGTAGAGCACAAACTGAGCAAGAACAAGACCCTAAGTTCCACCTGTTATCAGCAGACACACACACACACACACACACACAACACACACACACAACACACACACACACACACACACACACACACACGGAATTTGACAAGCCTAGCAGTGTTGTGGAGAACAAGAAAATTTGAAATATCTATGCCTGAAAATGACTGTTAAAGTAACTGCAGGGGCTCTGGCACTAAGGTCAAGGGCCTAATTCTCAAATTCTGGCCATGAGAATTATGGGTATTTCATCTTTACATGAATACTTTGTCTCTGAACTTATTAAACTTCCAACTATATAAGTGGGAATTTAAAATTCCCTTTTCAAAGTTCCATTGTGAACCAGGTGCTGGTGGCTCACACCTGTAATCCTAGCTACTCAAGAGTCTAAGATCTGAGGATCACAGTTCAAAGCCAGTCTTGGCAAAAGGCTATGAGACTCTTACCTTCCATTAACCATTGGAAAGGCAGAAGTGGAGCTGTGGCTCAAAGTGCTAATGCTGAGTAAAGGAGCCCAGGGGCCCTGAGTTCAAGCTCTGTGATGACCCCCCCTCAAAAAATCAATAAAAATGCCATCTGTGCTGGATGCTGGTGAGATTGGAACCCAGGGCCTCTCGCAGACACCACAGAGCTCACCCCAGCCCTGCTGGACTTGCTGAGAAGCTTTTGGTCATAGCTCTAGAATAGCCATATTTGTGGTGGAAACGTGTTGTTGCTACTGCAATTAAGAACTACCAATTTGTGATGAAGAATTTAATAACCAATGTTTTCACAGTTGTACCTCCTTTTATAGGAGCTTGCTGTTGGCCTTTGGGTGTCTTTGTGATATTTATACAGTTACGTGCAGTACTAGGGCTTGAACTCAGGCCCTGGTTCTCTCAGCATTTTCTACTTGAGGCTGATACTCTATCACTTGAACCACAGCTCCACTTCTAGGTTTTTGCTGGTTGGTTGGAGTTTCATCCGCTCTCCTGATCAGCCTCCTGAGTAGCCAGGGTTATAGGCGTGTACTACTGGCACCTGCTTGTCCTGTGATTTTTAAACTTCTACTTAGCACCAAAAGTATTCTTTCAGAGAGCTTTTCCAAAGATCCCTGTATGTAAATACTGGTCTGGATATACTGATTGAATGAACGTTACTTAAGAATGTTGGGCATGGGCTGGGAAGGTGGCTCAGTGGTAGAGCGCTTGCCTTGCATGCCTGAGGCCCTGGGTTCGATTCCTCAGCACCACATAAGCAAAGAGAAAAAAGCCGGAAGTGGCACTGTGGCTCAAGTGGTAGAGCGCTAGCCTTGAGCTGAAGAGCTGATGGACAGCGCCAAGGCCCAGAGTTCAGGCCCCACGACCGGACCCAAAAAAAAAAAAAAAAAAGAATGTTGGGCATCTCCACATAGTTGAAAGGACTGTAGCCTCTATATGTTGTGTGTTTCTCTGGGGCCTTCATGCTAGTGCTCAGCTGCTGGGTTCACACGGTGGGCATATTTTCCTTGCTTTATTTACTAAGAGCTGCACTGCTGCTGGCCTAGTCTTGCTAGTAGTCTACCATCAGAAGTCAAGGCATTCCTCTTCCTAGATGGGTAAGTTGGCCTGTAGAAATCATAGCAGCAACACAGTAGAATCTTAACACAAAATTGCTGGCTCCTGGGGTGTGGGGGATTTTCCCTTGAATGATGTTCTTTAAGAAGGGTCTTAAGTTCTCTTGTTCTGTAACCAACAGGAGGACTCACAAACGGCAGTGGAAGATACATCTCTGCTGCTCCTGGTGCCGAAGCCAAGTACCGAAGTGCGAGCAGTGCCTCCAGCCTCTTCAGCCCCAGCAGCACCCTTTTCTCTTCCTCTCGCTTGAGATACGGAATGTCTGATGTCATGCCCTCTGGCAGGAGCAGACTGTTGGAAGATTTTCGAAATAACCGGTACCCTAATTTACAACTGCGCGAGATTGCTGGACATATAATGGAATTTTCCCAAGACCAGCATGGTTCCAGGTGAGGACTTGGCTTTGGCACTTTAGATCACTGAAATGAGTGCCTTCAGTCCCGTGCTTTAGATAGCTACCATACTAAAACCATACCAAGTGTCCCTTTCATATTGCTCTCAGGTTTTTGTTTTTGTAGTTTTTTAGAGGGCTGTGGGTAAGAAGATCCCAGTTAAACATGTTTGGAAAACCTTTATTGGCCTGGGTCACATGCTTCAAGCAAACCTTTTACCTTTCTGTACTGTGTTTCTAGTTCACAAGAATTTCTAAACACTGCAGTTTAAGGAACAGAAACAGCATCAGGAAGACATGGACACATTTTTGCAGTGTTTGGAACTGGAGGTGTGGCTCAAATGGTAGAGCACTAGCCATGAGTAGAAAAGCTGAGTGAGAGGCCCTGAGTTCAAGCCCAGATACTGACTCTTTAAGAACAACCAAACAAAAGTCAAAATCGATTTTTTTTTCCCCTCAGTGAGACATCCACATATAAAAATTGGATCCTAAGTGTTTAGAAGTGAAACAAGTATGTCTTTGTTCCCATGCTGTAGAAATGAGACTAGCTTTCGTAGAAGATGGCTTCCCCCTTCCTGTTTGGCTGCTCTAGGGACTTAGAAGAGGGCGAGCCTAGTCTACAGTGAAGCACAGTCAGGCGGCCTCACTCACCCTTTCCCACAGGCTCCCATTTGTCTCTTTCTCTCAGACTTCAGTGAAGTCACTTCTAATAAGTCCTATCAGTTTGCTGCTGCACAAGGACTCTTCCTACTGGAATTCTACAGACCAAATTCAGAAATTGCAAGGCTTTCTCAATATAGTCACCTGCACTAAACAAAGCAGTTCTAGCTACTATTTCAGAAGATAATGAATACCACTTTTTAGGGATAGGAGTTAATATAGTAAGGACCATACAGGCAAAAGTCAAGTGTTTGATTAAGTGCATATGCGCCGTAATGAAATCTACTGAAATGTAAATGTACTTTTTAAAGTTCAGTTCAGGGAGAGGATAAATATGTACATGTGAGTGCATATTTCATTTGTGACTATGGGAGTTTAAACTAAGGTCAAGACTGAAGCTCGCTAAGCTGGTGTTATACCACTTGAGTCATGCTTTTAGCACAGCTTTTCACTGGTTACTTTTGAGGTCAGGTCAGGCTTACGGTCACAGCTGGGATCACAGACACATGCCACTACATGTCCACTTTCCTTCTGATGAGAAAGGGGATCTCATGGATTTGTTGGAACTGCAGGTCTGCCAATCTCAGCCTCCCAGCGTGTGGGATGACAGTCACGTGTCACTGCAACAGCTAATAAGAATGCATACTATGACACAAATGCAGAAGGTGACTTAGCTGCATTACCCCTTTACTTTGTACTTCAGATTCATTCAGCTGAAACTAGAGCGTGCCACAGCAGCTGAGCGCCAGCTTGTGTTCAACGAAATCCTCCAGGCTGCTTACCAACTTATGGTGGATGTATTTGGAAATTATGTCATCCAGAAGTTCTTTGAAGTAAGGCCTTCTTCTCTCTATCCTTTGACTAGAGAATTTCCTCAGCATGCATTTGTTTTCATAGAATTTTTAAAGATTAGTGATTCCAGTACAGTCTTGAAGAGCCTTTTAGATTTTTTTGTTTTTTCTTTTTTTCTCCAATTCATTAGCAGTAATCAGTGTATTTGATATGGGATAGATATTCAAGCAGATATTGCCAGGCTATTCTGGAAATGTGATTTGATAATTGTCTTTGTTTAGGGCCCAGCACTATTTCCACTTGTCAGAATAACTTCACTAACCATGTCACTTTTGGAGGAAATAATTTTGGGGGGTGGGGTGGGGGGGTACGGTCATGGGGCCTGAACTCTGGGCCTCAGCTCTTCAGCTCAAGGCTAGCGCTCTACCACTTGAGCCACAGCGCCACTTCTGGCTTTTTTCTTTTTTGCTTATGTGGTACTGAAGAATCGAACCCAGGGCCTCAGGCATGCAAGGCAAGCGCTCTACCACTGAGCCACCTTCCCAGCCCCTCTTCTCAACATTTTTATGAAAATAAATTCTTCACCCATAGTCTAAAAATCCAATCTCAAATGTAACCCTTTAGACTTTAGGACATCTCTGTATTGTCATTTTGGCCAGAAATGAAAACAGCTTCTGCTGGAGCAGCTTGGGTTGACAGTGGTATAAAGCTGGGGTTTGGAGCAAACTAGAGAGCAATCCTCCACCTGAGTGCCTTCCCTTAATGGAAAAGTTGGGAATGGACAGGCTGATAATTCATAAATTCTTCTCTAATTTCAGAATAACACTGCCCCCAATGAAAACAAAAAGCCAAGAATGAAAAAGCATTCTCTATAGCATTGTATAGGCTTTCTCTGATTTTACTAACTTTGCCATCCAAATTCTGTTATCTCTTAGAAATCATTCTTGGAGAATATAAAGCACTAATTCATAACACAGTGACCATGTGTGCTTCCCTTGAACTTGATAACTTTCATCCACAGAAAAGAGTTTGCCAGCCGGGCGCTGGTGGCTCACGCCTGTAATCCTAGCTACTCAGGAGGCTGAGATCTGAGGATCGCGGTTCAAAGCCAGCCCGGGCAGGAAAAACCGTGAGACTCCTATCTCCAATAAACCACCAGAAAACCGGAAGTGGCGCTGTAGCTCAAGTGGTAGAGCGCTCGCCTTGAGCTGAAGAGCTGAGGGACAGCGCCTAGGCCCAGAGTTCAAGCCCCACGACCGACAAAAAAAAAAAAGAAAAAAAGAAAAAAAAGAAAAGAGTTTGCCAAACTAGGTGCCAATATCTCACACCTGTGATCCTAGCTACTCAGGAAGCTGAGATCTGAGGATCATAATTCTAAGCCTTCCTGGGCAGGGAACTCCAATTAACCCCTAAAAAGCCAGAAGTGGAGCTGTAACTCACCTGATAGAACCTTAAGTATAAAAAACTGAGGGACGGGGTGGGGGGGGGCGCTGAGAAGGTGGCTCAGTGGTAGAACGCTTGCCTTGCATGCATGAGGCCCTGGGTTCGATTCCTCAGCCCCACATAAACAGAAAAAAAAAGTCGGAAGTGGTGCTATGGCTCACGTGGTAGCGCGTTAGCCTTGAGCTGAAGAGCTGAGGGAGAGTGCCCAGGCCCAGAGTTCAGACCCCACGACTAGACCCCAAAAACAAAAAAAAAAAAAAACTGAGGGACAGCACTGAGGTCCCAAGTTCAAATCTTAAACCTGAACCCAAAAGAATAAAAAGGAGCTTTTCAACCCATGGGACTCAGATACTCCAGTGGCTATGAATTTGTTGCAAAATCTGCTTTGTGAGCTCAAAGGGTTTCCCACACATTACTCATTTTAGTTTACATGTATTCTCCTGGTTAATAGAGTATAGACCCATTATAAACTAGTGGCTTTGTTTAGCAAATCTGGCAGTGTTGGCTATCTGGGTGGCTGTTTTTTTTTTTTTTTTTTTTTTAAGATTGAAAAGGGTTCCTCAGTCAGAGGCTGGAAAGTAACAACGGTTCCTTAGTTAATCATAGGTAACAGGGCTAAAAGAGAGTATGCCAACTGTTGATGCGGAATAATGAATACTTTGCTCTCTCTGATTTCTTCCCTTCTACCTAAGTAATGGTGTTCACCCACACATTATATCTAGTTTGGCAGCCATGAACAGAAGCTGGCTTTGGCAGAACGGATTCGAGGCCATGTCCTATCACTGGCACTGCAGATGTATGGCTGCCGAGTTATCCAGAAAGCTCTTGAATTTATCCCCTCAGACCAGCAGGTAATTGTAAGTTTCCCCTTTCACTTTTCTCTTGGTGTTCGATGTCTTTCCGTGGTACGTGCAGTGAAGCCTGTGGGCCCGTCAGTCTGTACAGTGTGACGTGTGTGCATGGCAAGCATGATTGCACAATTGATTTTGTACATGTTTAGTGGGTCGTGTCTTAGGTTAAAACCAGTCATTTCCACACTCTTCTCATTGACTAGAGCTTACCTTTTGGTTCTATAAGTGAGTCTTTGTATTTCCTGATAATCAAAGCAATTAAAATTTTAGCTTGTCATTTTCTTCGACCTATACTGAGAATTTCGGCAAACCAGAAGCTATCTATTCTGTCTTTCATTTCTGTTATTTTTACCATTTTGTTCCTGCAGTCACTGAACACTCATTCACTGAACAGCTTCCGCCTCACACACGTCTGCTGTCAGGCCCTGGAGGCTCAGAGACAACACAGCCCCACAGTCTGGAGGGACAAACAGTGGAAAACACTGCTGCTGCACACAGGCCCTGTCCCATGTCTCCAAGGGAAGGCTCTGTGCAGCACAAGGCTAAGAGGAGTTAGGTGAGGGCGGGCAGGAGTCTGATCAGTTAGTTAGCAGCTGTGAATGGGGAGCTGACAAGAACCGCCTAGAGGTTTTGCCTGGAAGGTTCCCCGCAGGGCTCTGACCCAGGGCTCCTCATGGGCAAGAATGGCCCACTGAAGCCGTGTGAGGGAGGGCTTCTGACCTGAGTCCCCGGCCTTTGGGCTCCTCAGTGGAGGGTCGCCACTGTCTGGCAGTGATGACTCACTTGCCCTCACTGAGAACAAAGTTGGGTGATGAGAACCTTTGTTATGGACTCGAGTTCTGAGCCAGACAAGACCCTGCCACCTCTGGTGCAGAGCCACCCACCCGGCAGCCAGTGGGCTGGCGATGGCAGTTGCAGGCTGGGGGATCCTGAGCCCCTTGGGTTAGTTTCTCAGACAGGCGTGGAGCTGCCCTGGAGGCCGGGGCAGGGTTTAGGGTACAGCAGAATAGGCATTTGTTCATTCATTTCAGGGATTCACTGCTAGAGATAAACCTTTGGAAGGAGAGTGCCCTCTGTAAACATAAGCAGCATAGGATATGTCTCTATGTCTGGTTGATGCCTATGTTTTTAATATATATTTTTTATTGTAAAGATACTGTACAGAGGGGTTACAGTTATATGAGTAATGAGTATATTTCCTGTTGAGCATTGTTACCCCCGCCGATGTTTTTTAAACCTCTATGAAATAGTTTCCAAGGTAGACATCTTTTTTGGGTATTAGTTACTGTGTAGTAAGTTTTACTATTTGTTAACACACAGAAGACCTTCAGTTCTCAGGTGTTTCCATGCTGTGGCATTGCCACAGATGTGCATGTGCTTTGATGCTTCGTTAGGAGAGTGTAGACTATCACAGTGTTTGCTGTCTGTGATTATGGCGTTATTTCCTTTCCTTGTCTCCAATAGAACGAGATGGTTCGGGAACTAGACGGCCATGTCCTCAAGTGTGTGAAAGATCAGAATGGCAACCATGTGGTCCAGAAGTGCATTGAATGTGTGCAGCCCCAGTCCTTGCAGTTTATCATTGATGCATTTAAGGGGCAGGTAAGTGACATAGGAACCAAGTAAGGAAAATGGTGGCGGGCATCCCCCTTGGGAGCAGCGCCATATGTGCCACGTGCTTTCCAGGCTCCAGGTCTTTATGGACAAGTGCCAGGGACCTGCTCTGTGCCAGCCTCCGCTCGTGCATTCATCTGCTTGTGTGGGAATCAGGTTCAGATGCAATCTCACGTGTGAAGAATCATTTTTCCTTGGTTAGTTATTAGCCTGGTACTTTAAAAAGTTTTTATTGCTTCTTAAATTCAGGTCATTTTCAGTAATTTGCAATTCATGTGTGAAGACATATTTAAAATCACAAGGTAGTCTTTGTGTAAAATCGTTTGGAGAGAATTGATATACGTTGGTTTGAATTGAATTAAGTATGAAACTGCCAGAAATAACTCCTAATTCCTCCTCCTCATTTGTATGTGGAAAGTGTGTTTTTAGCACCACTGTCTGATATTAGGATAAGATCTTCAAAATACACACTAAAAAGTGAAAAACTATACCAGGAAATGGGAGGAGATTGGGTATGTACGTGCACACATACATGCCAGTCCTAGAGCTTGAACTTGGAGCCTGAGCCCTGTCCCTGAGCTAACGCTCTACCACGTGAGCCACAATTCTACTTACAGCTTTTTTGGTGGTTAATTGTTGATAAGAGCCTCTTGGGCTTTCATGACTGGGCTGGCTTTGAACTATGACCCTTAGACCTCAGCCTTCTGAGTAGTTAGGATTGTAGACAGGTGTGAGCCACTGGCAGCTGGCAGGTTTTTGTATTATTGTAAAGGTGACATACAGAGGGTCCGTAAAGTTGGTTTTTGAAGCAGGGTCTCACTGTGTATCCCAAGGTGGTTGCAAACTGGCAATTCTCCTACCTGGACCTCCAGAACAGTTGGAGTAAAGAATGTGTCACCACACCTGGCATTGTCATTCTAGATTACAAATTTGAGATTTATTGCCTTCTAGCTATGCAGAACAGAAAAAGTATTTATTCCAGTATTACAGGATTCAACTAGGGATAATTAGAAAACTCCCAATAAAGGAAGTGGGGGTTAAACATACTGTTACTGAGGTTTGAACTGAGTTTGAACTCAAGCCTTTCAGCTTGCCAGGCAGGCACTTAAGCTGAGCCATCAGCCCTTAGCTTCCATTGTTTTCTGAATGGAGCCTCTTCTGAATAGCTCCTATGTTGCTGAGATGGCTGGTGCCTCCCACCACACCAGCTCTTGGTTGAGACAGGATCCCAGGACTGTTTGCTCAGGTTGGCCTCACTGCAGTCTTCGGCATCTCCACCTCCTGAGTAGCTAGGATTATAGACATGAGTCACTCTACCCTGTTCCTTTTTCTGTCTTTAGCCCTATTGATGGGAAGATCCATTGATTGACATTCTCTATCCTTTACTAAGTATGTTTTTCATGGTGGTCACTAATTATTTGCTACTTCCTCGCTTTTGGAAATTCCTATATATAAATAATGAAATGGGTCTATTAACACACAGTAGTTACATACCTCTTATTCCAAGAGAACTTAAATGCCACTGAATTCATTTGTGAAGATCAATGGGTTAGTATTTATAAAAGTTATCACAATATTGAAAATAGTGGGTGTCATTTGGGTTTTCTTCTTTGTATTTGTCTCCTGCAGGTATTTGCTTTGTCCACACATCCTTATGGCTGCCGTGTGATTCAGAGAATCCTGGAGCACTGTCTCCCTGACCAGACCCTTCCTATCCTAGAGGAGCTTCACCAGCACACGGAGCAGCTTGTGCAGGTAGTGGGGCTGCCACAGAGCCGCAGCACCCGTGGGCCCCTGTGGGCCCGGCTGGTGTGTTCTGTCAGCATAGGTATCTGCTCTGGAAGATGGTATTGTGTCTTAGATGCCCGCTGAATCTTTGGGCATGTTTGCCTAGCAGCCTGGTCTGTGTGTCGTGAATATTTGCAGTGAATAGGGCCCCAGTCCTGGAGTCAGGAGGTTGGCTTCAGCACTGCCTCCACACACACACAGTCACTTGAAGAACACTGTAATCCCACGTGTGTCCTCATTGCTGAATGAACTATGTGCATTAGTCGATTTCTCCTTTCTGTGCTTGTGCTACTGATCAAATAATTAGATGTGCCTATGTTGTTAAACATAAATCTTCACAGTTTTCCCCACAGATAGAACTCTCTCCTCCTCCCCTCCAAAATGATTTTGGTTATAGTTATTTACAAAGAACTCATCAAGAACTTGTGGGCATAAATCCATAGAGAGAACTATTCCATTATCTAACAACAGTGTGTTCCTGTTTCATAAAAATAGGGAAAATAGTTATTACCTATTCATTTAACTAAGTCTTGAATGCTCATTGGTATCCAATAAGCTGTCATGGTGCTACAAGAAATATAGGTGTTAATTAGAAATAAGGACAGGGCTGGGGATGTGTTGCAGTGGTAGAGAGCTTGCCTAGCATGCATGAAGCCCTGAGTTCGATCCTCAGTACCACATAAACAGTAAAAGTTGGAAGTGACACTGTAGCTCAGGTTGGTAGAGTGCTAGCTCCAAGCAAAAAATGCTTGGGGACAGTGACCAGAACCTGAGTTCAAGCCCCAGGACTGGCAAAAAAAAAGAAGGACATAGGTAACACACCTGGTATTTACATACATTTTCACCCTGATTTCTGCTCCTCAAACAGGATCAGTATGGAAATTATGTAATCCAACACGTACTGGAGCATGGTCGCCCTGAAGATAAAAGCAAAATTGTAGCAGAGATCCGAGGCAATGTGCTTGTATTGAGTCAGCACAAATTTGCAAGGTATGTGCTTTGAGTTAGGTGGACTGTTTTCCAGAAGAGAAGATGAAGTACTATTTGGGCTATATAAAGAGGGACTGAATGTTTGTTCTGTTTCCTTCTTAGTTTTTTGTTATTATTTTCATAGTATACATAGCTTTAAAAGTCAAAATAGTTCTACAAAGTATGAGTCCTCAGAAATCCTTAGGTGGATGTCTCATTTCCTTAGCATCTTGTAATACGTGTCAGTCCACTGCATGTTGAAATAACTTGATTATTGTTTGGAATTAAGAGATATTCATCACTTCCTGTAGGCCTGGTTTCTTCCCAGGCTCACTGCTAGTGACTTCCAGCTTGTCACAGGCACGCTAGGGCAGAGGCTTTTCCAGGGGTACTGGGGTGGTTGTTCTAAGTCCATTGTTTGTCCTGTTGCCCTACAGCAGAGTATTTTCTGGTTTCAGGATATTTTCATTCTTGGTCTTTTGAATAGATTGCAAGGTAGTAGGGCTGTACGCATATACATACACACCTTGGGGAGAGCAGTATTGGAGTTTGAACTCAGGTCCTTGAGCCTGCTAAGCAGGTGCTTTACCACTTAAATCACATCTCTCTAGCCTCTTTTGCTTTTATTATTTTTCATATAGGGTCCTGCGTTTTGCCTGGATCTGGACCACAGTCCTCCTATATATTTATGCTCCCTGCATAGCTGGGATGACACTCACCTTTTTTTATTGGTTGAGATGAGGCCCTTATAAGCTTTTTTGTAAGCTTTTTAGCCTGGGCTTAGCCTCAGACCTCAGTCTTCTCCATCTCTGCCTGAGTAGCTAGTACTATAAGCAAGAGGCAGCTAACTTCATGTTCACTTGTTTTTTAAGGGGTGTGGGGGGATCGTGGGGCCTGAACTCTGGGCCTGGGCGCTGTCCCTCATCTCTTCAGCTCAAGGCTACTGCTCTACCACGTGAACCACAGCGCCACTTCCAACTTTTTCTGCTTATGTGGTGCTGAGGAATTGAACCCACGGCCTCATGAATGCAAGGCTAGCACTCTACCACTGAGCTACCTTCCCAGCCCCTTAATGTTCACTTTTAATTTGTGAACTCTTATCGGATAGTAGCATGCAAAATAGAGAAAGTAGATGCGCCCAGATGTGGTGATGTAGTATATAAGGAGGAATGTGTAACAGAGCCATTCACTGGTACAGTATGTTGCCCTGGAGGGGAGCTACTTTATAATAATTAGAAATTTTGAAAACATGGCTGAATAGCTATCTTGCCATCTTGTTTTAGCTAGACATATACTCTGAAACGCCTTTTTTTTTTTTTTTTTTTTTGCTGGTCCTGGGGCTTGAACTCTGGGCCTGGGTGCTGTCCCTCAGCTCTTCAGTTCAATGCTAGCGCTCTACCACTTGAGCCACAGCGCCACTTCCGGCTTTTGTTTTTTCTGCTTATGTGGTGCTGAGGAATCGAGCCCGAACCCAGGGCCTCATGCATGCTAGGCAAGCGCTCTACCACTGAGCCACCTTCCCAGCCCCTGATGCTCCTTTCCTTTTTTCCTTTCCTTTCCTTTCCTTTCCTTTCCTTTCCTTTCCTTTCCTTTCCTTTCCTTTCCTTTCCTTTCCATCAGTTATGAGGCTTTAACTCAGGACTTGGGCACTGTCCACTAAGCTCTTTTTGCTCAAGGCTAGTGCTCTACCACTTTGAGCAACAGTGCCACTTCTAGTTTTCTGATGGTTAACTGGAGATAAGAGTCTTGTGGTCTTTTCTGCCCATGCTAGCTGTAAATCTCAATTCTCAGATCTCGGCCTCCTGAGTAACTAGGATCATAAGCGTGAGCCACCGACACCTGTCTTAAAGCTCCTTTTCTCCTTGAGGACCCAGAGCCTCTGTGCCTCTCACCCCATCTCTGCCAGACAGTAGGCTTGCGGCCGACGGCCCATATGCAGAGACTGTGAGGTGTTCCTTGACACAACAAAGCCAAAATGCAAATCAACCAGCAGTGAGTGATCACTCTTAGTAAGTAGCCATTACTGTGGCTACCTAGAACTTGGATTCTAGTAAAACTGTGCCTTAATGAACTCACACTCCTTTTTCCTTCCGAAGAGGAGATGTTTGTGGAGTGGTTAGCAGTGCTGACAGACATTACGGTCCTTCCTGTGCTTACCCTCTCCAGACGCAGCATGCAGTGGTCTGACAAAAGCACTGGGGTCTCAGCCGGGGATTCCCTCCGCCCCTCCCTCCCTCAGCCTAGGAACTCATGCTCCGCATTGGCTCTGCATGGCCGCAGGGAGCCTTGTTCCTGCTTCATGAGCTCACAGGAAGAAAGGCATAGTAATAGCTAACTCGCTGCTGTGGCCAGTCGCCTCCCCAGGGAGACCTGATCTCTGACTGGAATTATCGGTGGGCACCAGGGACGAAGGGGTCCCTCACTGAGTGCTAGAGTGCTCCTGAGGGCGGGGCAGAGGCTGAGCCTTGTCCCCACGCTTTGTCATTCCAGCAATGTCGTGGAGAAGTGTGTTACGCATGCGTCACGTACGGAGCGTGCTGTGCTCATCGATGAGGTGTGCACCATGAACGACGGTCCCCACAGTGCCTTATACACCATGATGAAGGACCAGTATGCCAACTACGTGGTCCAGAAGATGATCGATGTGGCAGAGCCTGGCCAGCGGAAGATTGTCATGCATAAGGTAGGCTGGGCTGGGCAGAATTTCAGTCAGAGAAGGTGGGCCAGGCCTGGGTTTGCTTCTAGACTACAAAGGATGGTAGACATAGCCCTGCTTTTTGAACAGTAGTCCGGTAGTCACTGGACTACCTCCCATCCTGGGTCCTTTTGGGTCACAAACCCCTCACTTAGGTGTTGCCACCCCGTCAGCAACTCACAGGGTCAGTCTTGGTTTTATGTTTTGTTCCTGTTTTGAGACAACTGTGTAGCCCAAGTTGGCCTCCCAAGTGCTGGATTACAGGTGTATGCATCACGGTTATGCTATCACATTTGCCTATGTGTGTCTTGTGCCCAGAACTTACCCTCCATTCCCCATCCCTCCGCTGTACTGGGGCTTGAAGTCAGGACTTTGCATTTGTTTGATTTGTTTGTTTGGCTAAAACTCACTCCACCACTGCGCCTCTAGCTCAGGTTTTTTTGTTTTGTTTGTTTGTTTGTTTGTTTGTTTGTTTTTATTTTTAATTTTATTATTTATAAAGAGGTAGCTGAGGGGCTGGGAAGGTGGCTCAGTGGTAGAGCCACATGCCTTGCATGCCAGAGGCCCTGGGTTTGAGTCTTCAGCACTACATAAGAAAAAAGAAAAAAGCCAGAAGTGGTGCTGTGGCTCAAGTGGTAGAGCGCTAGCCTTGAGCTGAAGAGCTGAGGGACAGCGCCCAGGCCCAGAGTTCAGGCCCCATGACCGGACCCAAAAAAACAAACAAAAACAAAACAAAAAAAGAGGTAGCTGAGTAAGAACAGCACCACACATGTGGTATTCAGGTAAGGGGTAGGTTTATTCATTGTTCTGGCTGGCACCAGGCCATCTTGGTCCTCCGCACGGTGGGGAAAGAGCTGGGAAAGAGAGAGAGCTGGGAAAGAGAAAAGAGCTAGAAAAGAGAGCATCTGGGAAAGAGGTGGGAAAGAGCAAGCTAGGAAAGAGAAGAGAGCTGGCAAAGAGCAGGAAAGAGCTTTTTTTTTTTTTTTTTTGTTTTGGAGATGGGAGTTGCAGACTTCAAACTGCACTGTTCCAGTTTGGACCCTCAGCTTACAATTTTTTTAAGTGTGTGTGTGGGAGGGGTAGTACTGGAGTTTGGACTCAGGGCCTTGCGCTCTTGCTTAGTCTTTTTGCTCAAGACTATTGCTCTGCTGCTTGAACCACACCTACAGTTTTGCTGGGTAAGAATCCCATGGATTTGTCTGCTCAGGCTGGCTTCAAATCAGAATACTTAGATCTCAGCCTCCTGAGGAACTGGGGTTATAGGTGTTAGCAACTGACATTCAGCCAGTTGACAGTTTCATGAGCTATTTCTCTGATTGGGCTTTAAGAGATAAATCTACGCTCCCAGCAAGTCAGCCTGTCTATTGTCACATTCACCACACACGTCTGCTGTCAGACCCTGGAGGCTCAGAGACAACACAGCCCCACAGTCTGGAGGGACAAGCAGTGGAAAACACTGCTGCTGCACACAGGCCCTGTCCCATGTCTCCAAGGGAAGGCTTTGTGCAGCACAAGGCTAAGAGGAGTTAGGTGAGGGCGGGCAGGAGTCTGATCAGTTAGTTAGCAGCTGTGAACGGGGAGCTGACAGGAACCACCTAGAGGTTTTGCCTGGAAGGTTCCCCGCAGGGCTCTGACCCAGGGCTCCTCATGGGCAAGAATGGCCCACTGAAGCCGTGTGAGGGAGGGCTTCTGACCTGAGTCCCCGGCCTTTGGGCTCCTCAGTGGAGGGTCGCCACTGTCTGGCAGTGATGACTCACTTGCCCTCACTGAGAACAAAGTTGGGTGATGAGAACCTTTGTTATGGACTCGAGTTCTGAGCCAGACAAGACCCTGCCACCTCTGGTGCAGAGCCACCCACCCCGCAGCCAGTGGGCTGGTGATGGCAGTTGCAGGCTGGGGGATCCTGAGCCCCTTGGGTTAGTTTTGAGGCCGGGGCAGAATGGTCTGATATTTGTTCAGCAAGAGTGTGTGCTCTGTAGCAAGCACTCCCTGAGCAGGGTTCTGTTGGTCATCCTCACCCCCAACCACTGGGGGCAGGAAGTGATGGGTGTGCAGGAATGTGGGTATGGAGACTGCAAGGGCGGGGGGGGGGGTCACATGAACCTCCCCTGGAAAGGGAAGGAGAGCAGAGGGCAGGACTGTGGTGGCCTCACACCCGTGTGGGGAGCAGGCCTGGTAACTTGGTGGAGGAGACTGCTCGCCGGAGGAGAGAAGCAGCCATGGAAGAGTGCCTCGCGGCTGGCGATGGCCTGGGATGGAGCACAAGAGTTAGGAGTGGAAAGGGAAAGGGGAGTTTTCAGAATCCTGGTTTTTTCACTTTAGAACATTAGGAGAGTAGAGCGTAGGATGACAGCAGTGTGTATATGCGTGCGTGCGTGTGTTCAGGAGAACTGACTCCACTCGCCAGCCAGCCAGCCGGCCTCGGGCTGGAGGTGAGGCGTGGAGGTGCGCTCGGTTTCTAGGAGAGCCACCACACACAGAGGGGTCGCTAGCCCCAACTCCTCACCGCAGGGTTTCTGCGTACTCGGCCTTTGCTCTCCCAAAGGAAGTTTGGCGTTGTGGCGGGGAACAGGCTCATAAGCCATGATCCTCTGTGGTCCATGTAGAAAGACCAATGGCTGAGCATGTAGCCCACAGGAGGGGCGGCTGGCACTGGGTGGGGGCACAGGAATGTATCCAGGGAGTGGGAGGAATGCTGGTGGAGGGCAGCCAGAGCCCAGGCCAGCGAGAGCAAGAGGGACACATGCCACACAGCATGTCGCTAGACGATGGTGAGAGAGGCCAGACTGGGTTCACACGCCTGTGCCGCCCTTACTAACCATTTGCCCTTGACTAAGGGGCCGCCACTCTGCAGCCTGCTTTCTGCAGGGTTTTGGGTTTTTTTGGTTGTTGTTGTTGGCCTCACTGTGATTCATACTGACAGTCCTGTTTAAAGAAGAATCACAGTTCGTTCAAGGCCAGCCAATGAAGAAACCCTTAGCCTGGTACCCTGGCTCACACCTGTAAACTCAGCTACTTAGGAGTTCAAAACCACCCCAGGCAAGAAAAGTCTGAGAAACTCTTTATCTCCAATGAATCATGAAAACCAGAAGTGGAGTTGTGGCTCAAATGATAAAGTGCTAGCTTTAAGCAAAAGAGCTCTGGGACAGTACTCAGCTCCTGACTTCGAGCCCCTGTACCTGCACACACAAAAAAATTGAGACCCTCTGAGTGCACGTGACTTACATCTGTAATGCTAACCACTCTGGAGGCTGAGATCTGAGGATCGAGGTTCAAAACCTGCTGTAAAGCCGGGCGCTGGTGGCTCACGCCTGTAATCCTAGCTACTCAGGAGGCTGAGATCTGAGGATCGCGGTTCAAAGCCAGCCCGGGCAGGAGCGACTGTGAGACTCCTATCTCCAATAAACCACCAGAAAACCAGAAGTGGCGCTGTAGCTCAAGTGGTAGAGCGCTCGCCTTGAGCTGAAGAGCTGAGGGTCAGCACCCAGGCCCAGAGTTCAAGCCCCATGACTGACAAAAAAAAAAAAAACCCTGCTGTAAGACTCTCATCTACAATTAACCACCAACAGACTGGAAGTAGTGCTGTCTTTGAGTGCTAACCTTGAGCAAAAAAGTTCAGAGACAGCTCCCTGGACTTAAGTTCAAGCCCCATGTCCACCCCCCAAAAAAACCAAACAATAACAATGAGACCCTAGCTAAACTAATGACCAAAAGCCAGGATAAAGGTGTGGTTCAAGCAGTAGAGTGCCAGCCTAGCAAGCATAAGGCCCTGAGTTCAAACTCTAGTACCCGCAGAGGGAGGGGTGGCTCCTAATACAGCATGTTTTTCCTGTCACTTGTAGCTTTTTGTGACCCACTGGGAACTAGAGCTATAGAACTGGGGCTTAGCTGAGGGGTCAGGGTAGCGGCTTGTCTCCCCCTCTCCTTTACTCCCCCCTCCCCCATCTCCTTTCCTCTTCCCTCCCTAGAGAGAGCTCAGGGGCTTGGCTGACTGGTGAACGCTTCCTCTGGCCCGCCCATCTCTCCTGGGCTGGTGACAGCTTGTGTGTCTTTGCTCCACAGATCCGGCCCCACATCGCCACTCTACGCAAGTACACTTACGGCAAGCACATCTTGGCCAAGCTGGAGAAGTACTACATGAAGAATGGTGTGGACTTGGGGCCCATCTGTGGTCCCCCGAATGGTATTATCTGAGCAGTGCAGCCCATTCCCGAGCCCGCTGACCTCGCTGATCCCCGGCAGATCCAACCAGCAGCCGCAAGGGTCCTGAGGCCGGCGTCTCGGGCCAGTGGTTGCTGCAGGGTTGTGCCCTCCCAGAAACGAATCAACTCCGCAGGTGGAAAGCCTTTGTAAATTTAATTTTATTACACATAACATGTACTAATTATTTTTTTTAATTGACTAATTACCCTGCTGTTTTACTGGTGTATAGGATACTTGTACATAGGTGACCAATGTACATGGGAGGCCACATATTTTGTTCAATGTTGTATCTATATTCCATGTGAAGAAACTTTCAGGGTGGTTGGTTTAACAAAAAAAAAAAAAAGTTTTAAAAAAAGGTTTTTAACTCATTTGCCTCATGGGCAAGTTTTGCAAATAGCTCTTTCCCATCTCCTCATTTTAGTAAAAAACAAAAACAAACAAAAAAAAAATCTGGGAAGTTTGAATTTTAGTTAAATGGCCATAAAGTGGCATTTAACAATTTAACACTTTATAAAAAAAATCGATATATATATATATATATATACATACATACATATATATGTATATATAATGAAAACGTTTCAGAGTTGCTAAAGCCTCCATTTATGACATTGTTGATGAAAATTGCCAGCAACTGCTCTGCTGGAGACTGCGCTGGGCCGATGGCCGTAACCGGCCACTGGGGAGGAGCCGGCCCGGGGACGCCGAGGCCGAGGCCGAGGCCGGGGCCGGCCCGGGCCGGGCGCATTGTTTACTGCCTACTGGATTTTTTTCTGTTAACATGGAAAGGCAAAATCTGATTCTTTTAGCATGAGAAAAAAAATCCAACTCTGCTTTTGGTCTTGCTTCTATAAATACATAGTGTATACTTGGTGTAGACTTTGCATATATACAAATTTGTAGTATTTTCTTGTTTTGATGTCTAATCTGTATCTATAATGTACCCTAGTAGTCGAACATACTTTTGATTGTACAATTGTACATTTGTATACCTGTAATGTAAATGTGGAGAAGTTTGAATCAACATAAGCCCGTTTTTTGGTAAGAACAGAGAATTAGCCAGCCCTGTGCATTCAGTGTATATTCTCACCTTTTATGGTCGTAGCATATAGTGTTGTATATTGTAAATTGTAATTTCAACCAGAAGTAAATTTTTTTCTTTTGAAGGAATAAATGTTCTTTATACAGCCTAGTTAATGTTTAAGAAGATAAACCTAGCTTGGTTTTATTTGTCGGCTAGTGAGGCGGTAGCAAGATCCTTTCTAAATATTATTCAGGATGACTCAGTTCACACTATCGTGGGTTTTTGTTTTTGTTTGTTTGTTTCTTTTTTACCCTACAAAAGTAATGTTTTGCTTATTTTGTGACAGTCAAAAGGACGTGCAAAAGTTGAGCCCTGCCCACCCAGCCTTCCTACAATCAGAGCCCTCCACCCACCCACCCGCCCACCTGTAAAGTGTCAACTGCCCTTTCTTTTTGTACAGAAGATGAACTGTATTTTGCATTTTGTCTACTTGTAAGTGAATGTAACATACTGTCAATTTTCTTCGTTTGAATATAGAATTGTAACACTACGCGGTGTACATTTCCAGAGCCTTGTGTATATTTCCAATGAACTTTTTTGCAAGCACACTTGTAACCATATGTGTATAATTAACAAACCTGTGTATGCTTATGCCTGGGCACCTATTTTTTGTAACTCTTGTGTAGATTGTCTCTAAACAACGTGTGATCTTTATTTTGAAAAATACAGAACTTTGGAATCTGAGTTTGCGCTTTATTTTAATCTCCCCTTTCCCTGTGCCTCTTTCTGCTTACTGGGTGAGGGGATGGACAGGTAGAGTATAAGTAAAGGGCAGCAGTGTCAAGACGATGGCTCTTTAGCTTCATGGGACACGATGTTGGTTTTGGCCTGCCCAAGGGCTTTCAAAATAAAGACTGTCTGCACGAGGCTCAGGCTCTACCTTGGGTTGGGTCTCTGAACAGTCATCTTCCTCTAAAAGCCTGCCCCATCCTCTCTGGGTCATCTGTGTTCTGGCATTTGCCTGTAGTTGGGTCTCAGAAGCCTGTGTCCCGTTTCTCATGTAAGGTGTTTGAGCTTTGGCAAAGTGGAGAAGTTAGCCACTGTTATGCCAGGCACTAACGGGCTGGTGGTCTTGTTTTCCCCTGGCCTGCTCACACTTGGGACTCTGGGGTTTTTCTTTTTTTCTTCTTAGTGTCTCATCTTGTGTATGCTTCAGTGGTGGCAGAGAAGAAAACTTGGTTAGAAATGTGACTGTTGTCACCCTTCTTATTTCCAGCTTCACCCTCTTTGAGGCCTGGTTGGTTTAATGCAATGCCTCACCTGGTGTTTCTGAGACCAGACCTAGTTTTCTCTATAAAAGGGGAGATAGACTAGTACCTTTGTGCAGACTGAGATTAAGTTCTGTAACTTTGACTAGCATCCAGCTAGATACAACCGATGGCCTTTTTTTTTAAATCCTTTTTTTTTTTTTTTTGTCGGTCGTGGGGCTTGAACTCTGGCCTGGGCGCTGTCCCTCAGCTTTTCAGCGCAAGGTGAGCACTCTACCACTTGAGCTACAGCGCCACTTCCAGTTTTCTGAGTGTTTATCGAAGATAAGAGTTTCACGCACTTTCCTGCCCGGACTGGCTTTCAACCTCGATCCTCAGATCTCAGCCTCCTGAGTAGCTAGGATTACAGGCGTGAGCCACCGGCGGCGCCTGGCTTAATCCTCTTTTAAATCAACTGTTTTGGAGAAGCTTTTTCAACAAGCGGTTTGCAGTGTCAAAGCAAAAATGCACTCTTCCTTTTTTTCCCTTCTTTATCTTCACCCAATATCTACGCCTAGATCTAGGTGAGTAAAAGAACTAGGGCCTGGCATGGTGGGACCTTCCCATAATCGCAGCACTCTGGGAGGTGTAGTTTGATTACTTTCAGGTTGACCTAGGCTACAAAACAAGACCTTGTCTCAACACTTCCAGCAGCCCCCGCCCTTCCAATTAGAACACCCGCAGGAAGTAGTTCCACGTGCTCTGGCACTACTGCCCACAGCAGCTCTGCAAAACAGGCAGATATCCCCATCTCAAACATCTGGAAGCCAAGGATCAGGCTTCTGCTGCATCTTTGATCAGATCTGCTCCAGCCTGTGGCTTTGGTTTTAGACCCTTGCCTGCTGTAAGTTGGTAACCAAGTGAAGGTTTTATCTGAGGCCTCCTGACTCCCGGTAGAGTGTTCTATTGATGCGTCTTGCTCTTGACACCTTCTATGACACCTCCTAGGAGGCACCACCTCTCCTGAGGTTGATGGAGAAGAGTTTGAAGCATGTTCTTGAAGAAGGAAACCTATGGGCTGGGTATGTGGCTTAGTGGTAGAGTGTTTGCCTAGCATGCATGAAGCCTGATTCCTCAGTACCATATAGACAGAAAATGCTGGAAGTGGTACTGTGGGTCAAGTGGTAGAATGCTAGCTTGAGCAAAAGAAATGTGGGGACAGTGCTTAGGCCCTGAGTTCGAGCCCCAGGACTGGCAAAAAAATTAGGAAACCTGTGACTTCCTGTAGTTACTAGCTGTGGCCACATGAGGGTGCTGCACCGTAAAGCAAACACTTGGCAGTAGCCCTAGCCCTTCAAGTTGGAAGGTGCAAGGTTGGGCTGGCTTTCCTGGTACCTGAGACTCCTGACTCGCACAGAGAGCAAAGTCTGGCTTTGCCCTGAAAAAGCTTTGTTCCTCCTGCACTCCAACCCTCGAGTTCTCTGGTGTGTAGTGCTGCTGTTGTGGAGTCCTGGCCGACAACAGGGCCTTGTCCAAGAGGGAAGTATGAGTCTGGGTCACGATGCACTGTAGTAACCTTCAACTAGAAGGAACTGAGTGCTGCTCGCACCCCACCCCCAGATTAATGCGCAACTCACACGGGTCACTTTAGAAGCTGAGTCTCCAGACACCTGCAGCGCCCTGACTTTAGCAATCAAGATACCACCTCAAGCCAGGTGCAAATCCCAGCCACTCAGGAGGCTGAAAGCTGAGCATCACGGTTCAAAGCAACTCATCTCCAATAAACCACTCAAAAAAGCCAGAACTGGTGCTGTGGCTCAAATGGTAGAGCGAGCCTTGAGTACAAAGAGGCTCAGGCAAAAAAAAATAGGAAGATACCCCAGCTACCCACCCAGCCTACCTCCTACTTCCTTAGGGGACTGAAGCTCCACAAAGAACAGTGACTAAGGGGCTGGCCTGGCACCCGGGGCCCCCTGAAGCCATCTCTGATCAGCTTGCTGAGGAATGAATACCTCCCCCAAGGCTAGGCTGAAGGTGCCAGACCCCAGAACTTGGCCACAGGCCTCCTCTGATGTTGATTGTGTCCTGGGGTGAGTAGAGGGGGCTGATGGATCGAATTAGTCACTAGCACAGAGCAGTTGGGGTGCAGTTACATGTTCAGTATCTGCCTGCCAACCTTCTATGTGAACTCAGTGCCACAACTGTGCCCAGCCCGGGACCTCGGAGCAGAGCTGGTGAGATTTGAAAATGCCAGTTCCCTCTCCCAATCCTAACAGTCCTCCAAGCCCCAACTCAAGTCCGGGTACACACCTCGGTGGCGACTATGCCCATGTGTGGGTAGTGTCCTGGGCATTTTGAGTCCTGTGTGTGACCAGCAGGTAGACGATCTGTGGCCATCAGAAGGAAAAAAAAAAACTGTCAAGAATTTCCTGCCTGTAATCCTAGCAACTAAAGGAGCTGAGATCTGAGGATAGAGGTTCAAAGTCAGCCTGGGCTGGAAAGTTGGTGAGACTCTTGTCTCTAAGTAACCAGCAAAAAGCCAGAAGTGAAGCTGTGGATCGAGAGGTGTAGAGCATCAGTCTGTGGGAGAAAAAAAAAAAAAAGAATTGTGCCAGGGCAGAAGTGAGACCTGCTTTTTAGTCTCCGGTCCGTCCTGTCTCTCTCTGGGCTTCACTTTCCTTACCTGTAAAATGGGCAGATGGGATAAGGGGCTTAGAGGCAGCAGGACAAGGCTCGGCATGCTCTGCCCACTCTCATGGCCGACAAGCTTCCAGAACAGTCTCCACCTTCACTCACAGGCTGGGTGCCCGGGCGTGGCCCCACCTCTGTGCGATGCCTCCCCAGGCCTGCCCACCCCAGCCACGTCACCACCATCATGAAGCCTTCCTAGATTCCTTCCCAGAGTCCTTCCTCTCTTCCCACCCTGGCCTCTGACTCTGTTGAACTTGACCCCATGTCTGGCTGTGGGGCAGGTGACCATTTGGAGGAGAAAAACCGCTGTAAAACGAATCAGGCTGAGTCTGCAGTCCCCGGCCTTGTTACCAGGTGTGCATGTGTGATCCCTTGGGATCAGGGGCAGATTAGGTGCCAAGGTACCCCCTGTCTCCCCCTGCCCTAGCTGGAGGTCCCTCTCCCCTCAGGGAGACCACCCCCCCCCCAGCCTGAGCAGAACCTGAGCCTGCCCCACCCAGCATTGCTCAGAACCCGGCTTGCTCCTCTCTCTCCCCCTTAGGCCCCCCCCAGCCTGAGCAGAACCTGAGCCTGCCCCACCCAGCATTGCTCAGAACCCGGCTTGCTCCTCTCTCTCCCCCTTAGGCCCTGAGGGCTGCCGGCTCCTCTGTCTGTCTGTCTTCAGCTAACAGACCCAGGAGATGCCTAGCGCCTGGGGCTAACTCCATGCCAATGGCCGTGCCCCCCCCCCACGGGTGTCCTCCAGGCCCCTGCTTTGGCCAGCTCTGGGATTGAGACCCTCCCTCCAGGTCAGCTTCCTGGGTGGTCTGTGCCCCCCGCCCTCCCACCAGCCCACAGCTCCTGTGCACGGGGTTGTACAAGCTCCACCAGAGCCCGCAGGCTCCAGCTCACCTCTGCACCCCCAAACTGCCTTCAGAGGGCTCTTGGTGTCTCCCCAGAACCTGCTTTTACTCCTGGGTTTGGGGGCTCCCTGTCCCTCCCCATCCAGGGCTGCTGTTACCCCCCTCCCCCGAATTTTCTCAGAAGCAAATGAGGTGGGGGGAGGAGGTGGGGGGAGAGGCTGGGGTGGGGGTGGGGTGGAGATGGCCACAGGGGATAGGAATGTGTTTCCCATTCCAGGACCTGGCAGGCCTTGAGTGTGTTAGGATCATGAATCCTCCCCCCCAGGCTTCCGGGCTTCGCCACACTGCCTCATTGCAATTGGGGCTCACTTATTTGCTGGCTACCAGACAAGTGGCAAGGGACTCAATTTCTCTTGAGTCCCAAATTCTACCCCTACTGAAGAACAGGGAGGAAGGGCGAAGACGCAGCTCCCATTGGGCTCAGCCTCCCAGCCCTTCCTTGCTGGGTCCTCTGTGCCCGCCCCCTCCATGGCTTTCTTAGGTCCAGGAGGCCCAGGCCTGCCAGGGTGAGGTTGGGGTGGAGAGATGGCCACCGGGCATGCTGGTGGGAACTGGAAGGGTGCCAGGCAGTGTCTGAGATTGTCCTTGGGCTGGTGTGTGACTCTGTCATTCATCAAACACTTCCCAGCACACCTCTAATGCTGGAGATACAGTGTAACTGTTGAGAGTCGGGACACAGACTGGCTTAGGTTGGTTTGGCTCTTACTTGGGGAGAAGGGCCTTGTTTCTCATCTGGAAAATGGGGATGGGGCCATGGGAATGTGATGTATAGACCCGGGTGGGGCCCAGGACCAACTCTGAGCTCTAGCTACTGTTCTCTGTGGGTACTGAGGTGCTCCCACACTGAAAGCAAGGAGTGCAGGATGGGTGTGATCAGGGTGACAGGCCAGGAGAGGCCAGTTCT